CTGTGAATTCTCTCACCCTCCCGCGCTTCTGACTGTACCCAGTGCATGTATAAATAAATAAATAAATAGATAAATAGATAAATAAATAAATAAATAAAACCTCAGGAATCTGAGCTCCCACCTCCCAGGCATGTCTCACCTTAAGTTGGGCTCCAGGCCCTGTAAATTGCAAAGCCACTCTCCCAGGCCCTCGGACAAACTCTAGGAGGGCGGTCCACTCACTAGGACACAGACCAAGTGCTGCTGCCACATGATGATTCCTACAGGTCACTGCAGCTTCAGCAGTCCCATCCTCTACCAGGAGTCTGGGGAAGAAACAGGAACTCCAGAGCAAACGCAAGTGGCCAGTCACCTGGACCTGATATACCTCCCTCCCCACCATTTCTAGTCTTTAGCACATTTCACCTCCAGTCACTCATCCAAAAACATTAAGCAATTCCCACAAGCCAGGAATTATACTAGCTCATGGACAGCGAACAGAGATGTGTAACAGGAAAGTAAATGGTGTAATGGGCGTCCACCTTGCGCTCTCACCTGATGCTGGCCTGGCTTATAGATGCCTGAGTGGGGCAAATAGGGCTCTGACGAGTACACCTTCCCTGGGATGAAGAAAGTGGTTAGGAAAAATCCTCTTGGTCCCATCACATCCTTCTGGCGCCCCTGCACCCAGCTCGGTGTCCCCTCCCCATACCTGGGGGCAGAGGCTGGTACAATGAGCACACACCCAGAGGAGCTGAAGGCTAAAGACAGAAACAATATGGCAAGATGCGGTGGCCCGGAATGGGGCTCGGTCACCCTGTAGAAGTTCAGCCAGGTAAACGTGGGGCAGCGGAGCACTAGAGAGAGAGAGAGAAAGGTCAAGAAACAGCCAGCAAGCAGAGTTCTGAAAGCAGGGTGTGTCTGGAAGGACTTAACAATCATAGGGATGCAGACCACAGTAGGCTCTCCAAGAAGACCTGTGGCCCACATTTTGATTCCTGATCTCTGATTGTCATCAAGTATTTCTCAGGCTTGAACAACAAAGATGCTGGCCAAGAAAGATATTTTAGACTGAAAAGCCTTAAAGAACATAAAACACTAAATCCTTTTGGGTAAAATGAGCAAAGGAAATTCTTCTCACTCAATACATTCTATTGGAATTCGAGAAACTGTAGTTACAGCAATAACTCCAGAGCCAGGAACATGCATGGGATGCAGATGCAAGGCTGTGAAGTTTAAAGATCAGGGACACTGACCTGACTGTGGTTTCTGGGGGAAAACTCAGGACTTGCACATAAGAGGATGACCGGAAACAATAGTAAATATTTTGGGACCTGCAAGTAGAGGAGGAAGAGTAAAAATAAGTCAATTTAAGGTAGGAGCTGTATCTCAGGCTTGGTGACTCCTTCTTAGGGATGGACTCTGGTTTTGGTTCTGGTTCTATGAAAGCAGAGGGAAGAATTGGTCTGGAACATCTCATGAAGGTAGAGGGCACAAATGTCAGACTAACATATCAGAGGTAATATCAAAAAGGTGTTACTGCAGCACAATTAAGTAGGGGTGAGCAGTTAAGAGAACCACGTCAGTAGGAAGAGAAAGCAAGGCAAGCTACTTTACCTGGAAACCCTTTTTTCTAGTTGGCTGAAGTAGACTCGGGCTCCTGGGAGGAGTCCTAGTAAGGAAGATAAGTGTGGGTCTTCAACATATATGTCCAAGTAAGGGGGGAAATTACATTCAGCAGTTTCCAGAGCAACAGTTAGCTTCATACACCTTCTGATGGCCACAGTGCTCCCTAGAGTAGAAGGGGAGCGTTCAGTGATATTTGTCTAGACCACAAAGTCCCATCACTCTATTTCATACCATCCCCCGCAGAGGTGACATTACCAGACTGCATCCAGAGAGATGGCGCACACAGTGTTCGTGACAAAATTTCAGCTGACAAAGACACCAAGGAATCAGTGACACTGGAGGGTCAGAAAAATAAAGTGAAGAAAAAGTGAGGTTGGAGGTATAGAAAGCAGAAAATGGAGAGACAGAAAAGGGAGCTAAAGTATCGCTAGAACATCAATTATAAAGTCATAAAAAAAAATGTGCTGTCAAATTACACACTGAAGTAACACAGCTTATGGGCAAAACAATTATGGCAGATCACTCACAACCTAAACAACTTAGTAACCAGAAGTGTATCAGTAGAATTAAATCTCCACTTGCATTTATACCTATAATGTCAGTCAGCCCAGTCCATTTGCAGTTGTTTTTTTTTTTTAAAGATTTATTTATTTTTATACAAGAGCTGGGGTACAGGCCAGAGGTGCAGGAGGGTGAGAGGACCCACCAGTGGCAGAGCAGGGAGACGACAGAAATACATTGCTGAGGTAGCAGCGGACGCGACAGGAGATCTGCCTGCCATGTGGGATGCTCCCTGGTGGGCTGGGATTGAACCCGCACTGCAGAGGCTGCAGAGAGCTTCACAGTGGAACACTTAACCCGCTGCGCCACCGGGAGGCCCCATTTGCAGTTTTATACGCTGGGACTTACGTCCTCTCCTTCATATCACAGGTTCTTGAAACATCTGTTTCATAAAAATCACACACACAATTCAGTAAGGCTTTTTGTTTTTGTATAGGGGGACATATCTCTGCAGCTTCTTCATTTGCACACAGCCACCCCAAAAAGTTTTTGTGAGGAAAGTATAGTCATTTTTGAAGACACAAGCCAGCAACTTCTTGAACTAAAGGATAGTCCTTTGCCATAAATTTTGTTTTTGTCCTTACATTTGTTTTTTTCTTGTATTCTTTTATTGCTATAGCTTTTCCATTAATTGTAAGAAAGCTTGCAAGTGATCATTTCAAAATTGTAATATGCTGAAGGAAACCACAACTTCCACCTTACACTGACATCATTCATTCCTCTAGAGGCTGAATCACATTATAGAAGCACTGTGTAACCACAGCAGAGGGAAAGGGCAGCCTGAATAGCTGGAGAAGCTGGTGGACATTTACTTGCCACTGAGCAGGTCGGTCAGCGAGGATTCAGGCAATGCCTTGTTGACACCAGGTACAGCTGGGATGTCCTGGGAGCTCTCAAGTTCAAAGGTCCACTCATTCTGGATAGTGAGACAATGCGCACAGCCAGCCAAGTCCAGAGGACGCTGTGATATGTGAGATGACCTGTCCTTCTCAAACAACTGTGGTGTCTGCAAGGAATAGGAAGATGACTGTCTCTAAGTCTGTCCTGGTTCAGAGGGGAGGTTCATGAAATACTATGAACCAATTAGTTCTCTTTCTGGACCAGGTAAAGGAAGTGATCTAGATACAGGTAGGCCTTCTTTTTGACCTGAATTTACCCTGCTTCTAGGAGATCCAGAGTGACTAGTTACTGGTACTCCCTTTCTAGACCCCAAGCCAAAAAGAGTTTTCTGAGAAGGGTATGATGTAATGGGGCACTCACAGGAGGGCCAGGAGCCACAAGCCGGTATACTTGCCCTGGATGCAAGAACTCAAACCAGCGGACCGAGGAGCCAAGGAAAAGAAGAAGAACCTGCAAGGGAAGGAGAGCAGTGTGCTCGCGTCCCACAAAGGAGCTGGGATAGGAAGTCAAAGCCTGGGTCCCTGCAGTCCCAGTTTACCTTTTGATCTTTGTTATCATCTCCTTTGGGCTCAGGTGGGCCCCATCCAGTACTTTCCTTCCTCTGGGTGCCCCCAAGCCAGCTCCCTGATACATGGAAACTGAGAGTGGGTTTGGGCACCTCTGGACTGGATCCAGGGGGGACACACATGTTCCTCTTCATCAGAGCCTCCTTGTGGGAGAGCAAGAATAGACGACTCTGTCCTATGTGGGAATCCTGGAGAGTGGGCTCTGTCTGAGGAGGCGTTGAAGAGGTAGCTGAGTGAAGGAAAAGTCTGGGCACAGGCAGGATCAAGGCATCAGCCAGAAAGAACTGTACGTAGACTCTGTTGGGAGACATCAGGACATTGGATGCTGTGGTGTTTCACTATCTGCACTAGGCCCGTCCTCTGCCCCTCAGAGCCACGACCCCAAGTCAACCTGGCCTTCTGCTCCTGGATGAAGCCTGTCATGCTCAGCTCCTTCCAGGAAGGGAAGTTGCATCTCACATTCCTCTCTATGACCAATTGGAACTTTTCTACCCGCACCAGGCAGCCTAAAAGAAAGTTTTCTATTTTGGCAAGAAGAGGAAAAATGCACAGTGAAGCAGACTAACCTACCCAACCTCGGCCAAAGCTGCTCCCCCAACACAAAGCGGAGACCCAGACCTAACGCCCACCTTGGAGGGATGCCTCCAAGAGAGAAATCATTCTATATGCATGTCCAGTCCTGCCCATCCTCCTACACTGAAAGGTCTTGATTCTTTCTCACAAATCCCAAAAATGCCTGTTCCCAGACCCAAGGAACTTTCCTTTCCAGGGTTTCCCTAAGTCCAAATACATCATTATTTTTCTGAACTAAGAATGAAGGGAAAATGGGAGGTGTCATCTTGGTGTGCTTATTAGGAGCTATGGTGAGAGAAATGAGTTTTGGAAATTGTAGTTCTGGGTAGGGAGTCTCTTGTTCCTTTTCTCTACCTGCCAATACCAATCTCCCAAACTTCTCCCAAAACTATGCCATTACAGCATCTCTAGAAAAATCCAGCAGGTGCTTCCTCCCAAATCTCTTCCCTCTGACCCCCCCTTTCTGAGAACTTCTATCCTACCACCATCTTTCCTCCACCTCTGAACTCCAAACCTATGAGCCGGGGATCACAGAGGGGTTGCGAGTGCTTGGCCAGGAGTAGGCAGGGGAGGGAACCACTTTGGTCTCGAAGTTGCAGACAACCTTTACGAGATGAAGCCACTAGAACCCCAAGTAAGACCTGCAAGGAAATGAAGGTTGCTATCAAGTAGTTATTAAACAAATACTGAAAATATACATTGTGCCAGGCACTGTATTACGTTAGATATAAAGTGAACAAAAAAAGACATAGTCAATGACTTTAAAGAACTATATATATTCAACCAGGAAAACAGATGTGAAAAAACACAGATGTTTACATATGTAGTAGTGGGAGGAAAGTATGCAAACAGAGGTCAGAGGCAGGAGGTCAAGTAGGACCTCAGAGGATATAATAAGGCGTTTGTGCACTAGGAGAAACAAGAAAAGAATTTAAAGCTAGAGTTTTGAGATCCAAGTTATATTTTGCCTCACTCTTTCTAGTTACTGCAGGAAGAATTAATCAGACAGGTCAAGAAGAGATGGAGCAACTGAATTAGGTTAGTAAAGTCAAAATGACAAGAAATGCTAATGATCATGGCAGTGAGGGTGGCAATAAGAGGAAGACCCTTGAGCCATGCTGGAGGCCCCTTACCCGGGTTGGCTGAAAGTCACAGGGCAGTAGTCGGAGCCAGGACCAGGTCAGACGCTGATTTAGCTGGCAACTAGTCAGGTGATAAGCCTCTGGCAGGGGCAGAAGGGTCTTAGGGTCAAAGGTGTCCTGGGCCCTGCACTGCCCTTCCTCTTTCACGGTGGCCAGGGTGGGGAAAGAACAGGGACTCTGCAGTGGAGCATACTGTAAGGGAGAGAAATGAGATTGTATGTCCCCTAGTGAATTAGCTCTGATAGCCACCTTTCCCCACATCCTCCTACCTTCTGGAGTGGACAGTGATGTGGCTCTTCAAGGATTTCGTTGTGTGCACTCCGACTGGGACTGCAGGAGGGAGCTAGACCATCCAGGATAGGAGCCAGGAGCTGCAGTGCCAGATTGGGGTTTCCAGGCAAGGAATGGGCCAGGAATTGTCGGTGTCTCAGCACATGAGGGCACAGTCTTGGCCAGGGAAAGAAACCAAGTCACTTTCCCCAAAAACTCTCTCTCTGCCAGCATCCTGCTTCCCTTACAGAGGCGTGTTCTACTCCTTCCTCCCACCAACCTCCAGCCTCTCAGACCTTCATCCTCCTCACTTGCAAGTTAGCTCCTCCAGGGCCTTGGTGGCCCACAGGTAGAGGGGAAGTCCTAACTGATGTTCCCATGACAGCTGCTTATACAGGGAGGCCCCGTGGCCTTGGTGGCAAGACTGAGTCTCAGGCTTCTGGTGTGAGAAGGCCCGAAGCAGCACAGCACCACGGAAACAGGGGGCTAGCACTGGCCTTGTTATCCCTCCACCAAGTGACTGTAGGAGGTGAACATCCTGGAGCTGGGGGAAAACAGGAAAAGTGAAAAAGCAGAGGCGAAGCCCCTGAATCAGGCAGTGTTGACTGCAGCTCTCCACTGCCTGGGTTCCATGAAAACACAATTTCTTCATTATTTCCTTCTGCTTTCCATGGCTCACTTTCTGGCACAACCCACTCTCCCTGCAGTAATCCATCATCTCCTGTGAGTTCCGCTCAGTCTTTCTGTGAACCAGAAGGCTCCTGGCTAGAATGATTTAGTACTCATCAGGCTACTGTGATTGTCCCAGCCCAAATCCGTGCTTCGGCCCCAGGGCCTCCTCCTCTAGTCAGAAGGCCTTCTGTGGAGGAGATGCTCTAGCCTTATCCATCTTCCCAGTGCTGCAGACCCTACTCTTTCCTGATCCGAGATCATACTCAGGCCATGCTTAAGAAAAGTAAGCAAGCCCCGCCCTCAACACACTTATTTTTATAGCTTTGCTATTGAGGTGCCCACCCTGTTTTCATTTTAAAAGACCATTCCACGAAAGTAAAAAAAGCTGCTAAGGGGGCCTCTTTTTGTCATCAGCTCTGATTCCTCACCTACCTCAAGACGGACTCCTGGTCGCACCACCCGCCTGAGGTCAGGGAATTGCTGCTGGTAGGCCAGACAGAGACCCAGCTGTGTGTCCAGCTCATAGTAGCCAGCAGGCTCATTCAGCACACCAGTTACCATCCCCTGCAGAAGCCAAATGTCCAGTTGATACCTATTTCCTTCCTCTCTGGAGACCCACATTTCCTACCCACCAAGCTTTAGGATTGCTTCCTTATGCTCACCGTATATGATAAGAGTATGGAATCGCGCGTGAGGCCTTTTTGTCCCTTCCTGTTTTGGGAGTTGTCTGGCATAGGAAGTGGCTTGGAATTAGCCTCCAAGAGGGGTTCATCCAGCTCTAGGTCCAGCTCATACACACACTCTGGTTTCAGTTGCAACAGACGAGAGGTGGAACTGGTCATCCAAACGTGGCAACGGTGACCACAGATCTTGGCTACTCGTAGCGCTGTCAGCACATAGGCCCTACCAGGCCTAAGGGCTCGGTGCCACACCAGCTGGGCAGGGACCTGGCTTGTACAGAGGCAAGCAACATGGAACTTGAGATGCTTTTCATGATGCTGCCTCTGCCAGAGTCCCCTTCCAGACTCTAGTTGTCTTAGAGGTGAGTGGGATGTGGTAACACACATGTAAGAGGTGTGTATCTATACCTTGACTCATATACAATGTTGTAAACCAATGAAATTTAAAAAACACAAAAATACATATGTAACATATTATTTCTATATGAACAAAATAAATGAATCAGTTAAATAAAACAAAAATGTTTAGATAAAAAACCAAGCTAGTGGCTACTAGGTGGGAAGGGGAGTGGTGGCTAAATTAGGCAAAAGGGGTCCATGAGGGTCTTCCTGGTGTTGCAGGGGGTTAAGACGCAACCTATGGGTCTGTGCAACCTATGGGGCTGTCCACTGCCTCTGCAGTGCAAGTTCGATCCCCGGTTGGCCGGGGAGCAACCCACATGGCACAGCGGACCTCTCATGGCTGGCCCACTGCTCCCCTCAGCAGTGTGCTTCGGTCAATCTGTCTGTTCTATTCCCTGCTCTGTCTCTGGTGAGTCCTCTCACCCCCCACACCTCTGGCCAGTACCCCAGCTCTTGTATGCATACATTTTTTTTTTAAAAAAAAGGTGGGGGTCAATGGTATGGTTAAGGATAGAAGTGGACATTCAGTGGCAAACTTAATGTAATATATATATGGACACTGATTTATAATAACGTGCATTTGAAGTTTATATAGTGTTATAATGCAATGCTACTTCAAAAAACAAATGCAAAAAAATCCAAAACAATAAGAGTTTTAACATGCCTTTTACACTCCAGGTCCCTGAATTTACCCTAATCCTCACCTGCACAATGATAGACACATGGCTGCCAGCTTGGGATGATGCACCAAGAGATAGGACGAAGTAAGTTTTCTTTTTACTTTTCACAAGAGCACTCAATCGAACCAGTGTCCCAGCCAAGTTTGGCTGCACAACTTTGAGCTTGCTTCTAAAGGAAGAAAAAGAGGAGGGGGAAAATTCACTTTCATTTCTTTTCTACACCCTTCTCTTCAGCTGTAAACCTATGGGCCTTCCTAGTGGTGCAAAGGGTTTAAGTCTCAGCACAATGAAGCTATCAGCAGCCACTGCAGCATGAGTTCGATCCCCAGCCAGGGAGCTACCCACATGGCACAGTAGACCTCTCCCTCTTGCCGGCTGCTTCCCTCAGCAGTGTATTTCAGTAGATCTACCTGTTCTGCTCCCCACTCTGTCTCTGGTGAATCCTCTCACACCCCCTCCCCCCACGACGCCTTTGGACTATACCCCAGTTCTTGTATGCATAAATAAAATAAATCTTAAAAAAAGAATAATCTAGTCATGATTTAAAATGTCATAGCTCGGGCCTCCCAGGTGGCGCAGCGGTTGAGTGCGGGGTTGCGAAGCTGCCTGCAGCCTCTGCAGCGCCGGTTCGATCTCCGGCTGCTCCCCGGCCACCGGAGGAGGGTCCCACATGGCATGCAGACCTCTCCTGCCGCCCGCTGCTCCCCTCAGCAGTGTACTTCGGTCCTTCTGCCTGCTCTGCTCCCCGCTCTGGCTCTGGTGAATTCTCTCACCCTCCCGCGCTTCTGACTGTACCCACTGCTTGTATAAATAAATAACTAAATCTTAAATAAATAAATAAAATGTCATAGCTCAAAGCAATTATTTTAAAAATCCTTAGACTCTGCCCATCTTTGTTTGTTTGTTTGTTTTTTTAATTTTTTTTTTTTATAGAGGCATGCTTTATTTATTTGTTTGCTGGTTTGTTTGTTTGTTTTGTTTATACATGCACTGGGTACAGTCAGAAGCGCGGGAGGGTGAGAGAATTCACCAGAGCCAGAGCGGGGAGCAGAGCAGGCAGAAGGACCGAAGTACACTGCTGAGGGGAGCAGCGGGCGGCAGGAGAGGTCTGCACGCCATGTGGGACCCTCCTCCGGTGGCCGGGGAGCAGCCAGGGATCGAACCGGCGCCACAGAGGCCGCGGGCAGCTTCGCAACCCAGCGCTCAACCGCTGCGCCACCGGGGAGGCCCTCTGCCCATCTTTGGATAAGGCATACTTCCCTTGAAGACACTGCTGTTAACATCTGGAGAGGACCCATCATTCCCATGATTTGGAACAATCCATATACATCACTCTCTATACCTTTCTTTTCTTCATTCCACTGACCCATCATCATCCTCCCAGTTTCAGGGTGCTCCCTCTTTCCCAGAGGGAAGAATTACCTGTGCCTGAGCAGGTGAGAAGCATTCTCTGGGTAGATAACTGGGAGAGGGGAAGGAGAGGCAGGATTGATGGTCAAGGGAAACACTGGCACAGGAGCACCCCAGAGCTCCAAATGCCCTTCCCCTGAAGAATTCCACTTGGCAGGAGGGAGGTAACTCCAAACGGGGAACAGAAAAAGATGGCCCAGCCAAGAAAGATCCAGGTCTATGAGCTGGAAAAGACCAAGAGCAGGGGTTAAACAGGAGCCTAGTAACCCAATAACTTCCTTCCACCCTGTTCCCTCAGAGATTTAATTGTCTCACTCCCTAGACACCATTCTTGTTAGGATATGAGGTAAAGGATCCTTCCCCTCCCTGTTCCTGCTCACCTCACAGCCCAGGATACCCGTGTTATCTCTCACATAGAGTCCTCCATTTTTGTACTCTTTTCCCAAATCCCCTGGTCGGTCTGTTAGCGTTCCTAAAAGTAACAGTCGTTCTTGAGGCAGGGGGGTTCCACTTGGTACAGCTTCTTGGGCCCATGTTTTGTATGTACTGCTGCTCCAGGACAGGTGGCTATAGCACGGGAGGTGCTGATGGGTCTTCAGGTCCTGAACTGAGACAAAGCTGCAGAATGATGGGAGCAGAGGTCCTGTAAAGTCATGTCCAACCTAGGAAGTTACCCTCACTCCAACAAGTCCCCCCAGGATCCCAAAGAAAGGTTGATGGAGAACACAAGATTAAGATAGTTTGACTGACCAAAGGGGAAAAATCTTGGGGCTAAGAGTTTAAGAAAATGAGGATAGAGCCTGGATCTAAAGACTGGGTAGTACCTAGGGAAAGCAAGAAGAAAGTCTGTGCTGTATCATACTCTGAACAAGAATGTACCACAGAGCAGACCCAGAGAAATGAAGTAGGACTTCAAGAGCAACCTGAGAAGACAAATGTGGCAACAGCACTTTATAGCTACTTTTACAGCTCCCTTGACAGCATCTCAGGTGTTAGTTCCACAGGGAATTCCAAGGAGCCACTTGCACATCCTGCCTAATGGCTCAACCTCATGGCCCCGGCCAGGTTTCCTTCCTAGTCTATAATATCACAGTACTAGAGACTGGCTGGGAAGCTGAGGCTGAGATGAGAGTTGATATTAAGAACTCCCAAATTCCAACAGCTATTTGAGAGCAATCATTCTTTTTTTTTCTTTAAATGTTTATAAGTTCTTATCTCTACAAATGTATATTATCACACCACACACCACCAAAGCCCAAATATTGAGTCCCCCTCCCCCCTTTGTACCCATCCCCTCACCTTCCCTTTATGGCAATCTCAGGTCTACAATCAGATTTCAAGGGCCTGGGGCCTCCTTGGTGGCCCAGGGGTTAAGTCTCAGTGTTATCACCACTAAGACTTGAGCTCAATCCCCAGCCAGGGAGCTAACCCACATATGGCGCAGCAGACCTCTCCTGTCTTACCCACTGCTTCCCACTCTCTCTGGTGAATCCTCTCACCTCCTGTACCTCTGGCCTACACCCCAGTTCTTCTATGCAGAAATAAATAAATAATATCTTCAAGGGTCTCTTTCTGCCTGTCTCTTTGTTTTGTTTCTTTTTAAAAGATTTATTTATTCATGCATATAAGAACTGGGGTAAAGGACAGAGGTGTGTGTGTGCGGGGGGGGGGGATGGGGGTGAGAGGATTCACCAGAGACAGAGTGGGGAACAGAACAGGCAGATCGACAGAAATACGCTGCTGAGGGGCGCAGTGGGTGAGAAAGGAGAGGTCTGCTGCGCCATGTAGGTAGAGTACAAGGAGGAAAAGTTTGTGATGTTTTGTCACTGTATCCTGATTGTTTTCCACTCCAAAAACATGGGAATGCAAGTGTGTGGGGTAATGGTATTACAAAGATCAAACTCATGCCAGGGATCGAACTCGTGCTGTAGTGGCTGCGGATAGCTTCATAGGTTGCGTCTTGACCCCTTGCACCATGAGGGAGGCCCTGTCCCTTTACTTTGTTTCTTTATGTTCCATATCATCAAAATTATTCATTATTTGTCCTTCTCCTTCAAGATCAGCCATTCTTAAGCAAAGTGTTGCAACACTGCTATGTCACAGTCAATTGGGGGTGTATTATAGAAAACTTAATCAAAGTTGTGACAGGCTCATATCTTTGTAATACCATTACTCCACACACTTGCATTCCCATGTTTTTGGGGTGGAAAACAATCTGGATACAGTGACAAAACACCACAACTTTTCCTCCTTGTGTTCAACTTGAATCACACAGGAGTACTCACAGTGGGAATCTGCTCTAGATGGTCCATTTCCCTTTCATATTTGCCTTTTATGCCCAAATGGCTTTGGAGAAGATAAAAGGCAAAGACAGAAACTAACATGTGTTGAATCCCTGCTATACACATACTATGTTGGGGCCATTCATGCTCCACACTACACTGAATCTTCACCAAAACCCCCCGTTAATACCACTGAGGAAACAGAGCAGCTTAGGTATACAATGGCATAGATGATAAAGCCAGGTATATCTTACTCGGAAGTTCACGTTCTTTCTCCACGTTTCCCTACTTCTGTAAAGGTCCAGGAAAAGAGCAACAGGAGAGAGTTGTATCTTTATTTTAGACACCTTCAGGATAGAAAACGGGTCAAGATAGGGGTCATTATCCCCCAGATTCTTTGGGATTTGGGGCAGGAAACAGAAAGCGATAACCTCAAATACTTTGCATTTGTCATTGCTTTTCAACTTTCAAGTGCCTGGCACGCAGCAAGCCCTCAATGGAAAATGGAAGTGAATAAGACTGTCAAATAATTTCTATTTTACTCTCATCCACCATTCTTTATAAATGCCTCACATCTACACATTTGCTATTTTACATTTATCTTGAAGAACAAGAACACTTTATGAAAGATTCCTAGTTTCCTAAACATAGTTGATATGCCATTTTTCAATTATTCTATGCTGCCATAATTTTAAGAGATCTGAATGTTCCTTTAATCAAACTGCAACCACTGAGGCCACTAGACACATACTCAGCTATGGAAGCTTCTAATTCCACTGCAATACAGGTATCATGGAAATCACAATTTCTTCAATTATGACTAGTTGATAAGTAGTTCTCTCCAGGGCTTTCCCAATGCTAGCTGGATCGTTTTCGCAGGAGATCTCATCCTACGTTTAAATTTTTTTTTTTTTAAAGATTTATTTATTTCAAGCACTGGGTACAGTCAGAAGCGCAGGAGGGTGAAAGAATCCGCCAGAGCAGAACAGGCAGACTGAGGAAATACACTGCTGAGGGGAGCAGTGGGCACAACAGGAGAGGTCTGCGCGCCATGTGGGACCCTCGCTGGCAGCCGGGAAACGAACCAGCAGCTGGGCATTGAACCAGCGCTGCAGCGGCTGCGGGCAGCTTAGCAGCCCACAGCTCAACCTCTGCGCAAAGGGGAGGCCCTATCCTATGTTTAAATTTTAACAATGGGGGCCTCCCCGGTGGCGCAGCGGTTGAGCGCTGGGTTGCGAAGCTGCCCGCGGCCTCTGCGGCGCCGGTTCGATCCCCGGCTGCTCCCCGGCCACTGGCGGAGGATCCCACATGGCGCGCAGACCTCTCCTGCCGCCCGCTGCTCCCCTCAGCAGTGTACTTCGGTCCTTCTGCCTGCTCTGCTCCCCGCTCTGGCTCTGGTGAATTCTCTCACCCTCCCGCACTTCTGACTGTACCCAGTGCATGTGTAAACAAAAACAAACAAACAAACTAAATAAATAAATAAAACATGCCTCTATAAAAAAAAAATAAATAAATTTTAACAATGTATTTAATTTTAAGAGTTCTGAACTTGGACAAGACTTGTTGGAAAAGAAAGGAAAAACAGTCCAATGGGGTAAAAAGCACCTGGGAAGAGTGCACCAGGGAAATTACTTTGGAATTAAGATATCATTTAATACCTATGTAAAAGAAAAAAAAATTTTTCAACAAAGTAAACACCAAATTTGGAAAAGATTCATAATATACATGTATGCTCCTATTTGCATCAATGGGTACAGCTCCATGGCACTGGCAGCATGGCTAGTGAGGTATGTGCATACTCAGTGAGGTTAAAGTTCCCTTCAGGGACAGTGATCTAGAGGACAGGAAGGAGAGAACTGGAACAGGAGTGAGCAGATAGGGAAGTCACTAAATCTGTAACATTTTAACAACTTTTTATAAAATAGAAATTGAGGGCCTCCCTGGTGGCAGCAATTGAGCGCTGGGCTGTGAAGCTGCCCGCAGCCTCTGCAGCGCCAGTTCAATCCCTGGCCGACTGCAAGGGTCCCACATGGCTCGCAGACCTCTCCTGCCGCCCGCTGCTCCCCTCAGCAGTGTACTTCAGTCCTTCTGCCTGCTCTGCTCCCTGCTCTGACTCTGGTGAATTCTCTCACCCTCGCTTCTGACTGTACCCAGTGCTTGTATAAATAAATAAATAAATCTTTAAAAAAATTTGAAACAAATATAGAAAGATGTTACAATTTTTAAAAGTCAAGCAGTTTAGTTCAACTGACTGGTCCCAGATAAGACTCCAAATGAAAGAAGTAGTGTGCTGATTTATATGCTGGTAGACCAGCACTTTTAGTTTCCATTAGTCTAAGGATGAAAAAATGACACAGCATTTTGCTGGTGATGTTTTGGATAACAGAGTACAATTAAGCTGTCTTCTCACCAAAGACTGCTTGCCTGTACTAGCTGAGGCAGATTGCCAGGCTGACTGAAGGGTTTCCCAAAACTGCCATAAGCACGGGTGCCAGAGGGAAAGCATCCTGTGCTGAAATACGTTTGGGAAATGACAAATTAAACAAAGCTAAACAATGCTAAGTACAATAGGTCAGAAAGTGAAAGACAGACACTGGATGGTCTCACTTTACCTGTGGTATAAAAATAACCAAAAAACATACATTGATAAAGCAGAGCAAAAACAATTCTTAGACTCTGGGAAAAATATACTGGTTACCAGAGGGAACAGGGGCGAGAGAGGAGGGGGCAGGGGAAGGAAGGGGACAGGGCACTGACACAGGAAACTTGGTAGAGGATGAGTGAAGCCTGGGCACATATGGAGGTATAAAAACATCAACTCCAAAGTAATATTTATCTAAATGACTAATTAATAAAAAATTAAAAAAAAAAGCTAAACAGATTTGTACTTTTTTCACTTTTTAAATGATAAACAGTGATATGTATATTCATATAATAGGATACCATAGAGTAGTTAAAATAAATTAGTTATTAATATGAATAAATCTCAGAAACATAATGTTAAATACAAAAAGCAGACAGCAGAGGATCTGTATGGTGTGGCACCATTTATATAAAGTGTGAAGGTATGCAAAATTCTGTGGATTGCTTAGGGGTTGATGCATGTGCTGTAAAAATAGATATTCACAGGAATAATACAGCCCATATTTAAAATAGTGGTCACTTTATGAGAAGTAAAAAGGCTGTTTTTTGTAGGAATTTTTCAGAGCCTTTAATATGTTTATGAGTCTCATGACTCTCCTAAAGCAGTTAATCAGATCCAATGTCTCTCAAACTTATTTGGTTAGGGAACCCTTTTCTTGTGGTACTTTAACAAAATCACTCAGAACAGTTTAGGAAATGGAAATGCAGGTGGGGGGGGGTCTTCAGAAGACCTTGGACTCGTGTCTTCTTAAACTTGGTCTGATCTCTGTATTTAGTTTCCTAATATACAAAATGATGATATATCAATCTGTCCCCACTTTGAGGGTTCATTTCCCAAATTTTCTATCTTCCCTTCTTCCTCTCTCTCCCTTTCCTTTCCTCTAAATTTGACTCAAGCCAATTTAGAATTATAGGAAAAGGAAAGTAGCTTAATGGAGAATGGGATAGTTTGGCAGAAAAAGGTTGTGGTTAGACCACATTTTTCTCCCCTTAGCTTGTATCCTCTCATTCTACTCATTTCTCCCCCTTTAAACCGTAAGTCCTTCCTTTTAAATTCCAAATATTTAACGACACCCCTCCACCCCACACACACCACTCCTTACCTGTAGCTAAGGGGCAATGCAAAACCTTGCTTATTTCCCTGGGACAACCAGACAGTCTTCACACAGTCAATTACTAATTGAGTCAACTGGACATTAGGCTCCTTGCCAGGTGGACACAGGGTCTCTTGGATGAAGGTCTGGGCAGTCTCAAGCCAGGCTTCCTCCTGAGGAAAATGAACCTAGTGAAAATATTTTCATGATCACCCTACCCTACAAGGAATCTTGGGGAAGAAAAAAAAGCAACTGAGCGGGGGAGGGGTTGGAAATAAGAGGGCATGTAAATGAAGGTGATAAAGGAGTTTAGAATTTGGAGAAATCTTGAAGTCTTTAGTCCAGTCATACAGCCACCTTAGTCAGACATCCAGCTTTGGTCTTATCACTTTCTAACAAACCTGCACCAACCTGAAACATGCTCACCTAAAATATATATTGTACTTCTCTATGAACCCTTCTCTGACCACCCAGTCAAAATGCCACTTCTTTTTTGGAGCTCCCACAGCACTCTGCACATATGCTTGTTAAGTTTTGCTTAAAATATGAATTCATGGACCTTATCTACCAAATTTGAATCCAGGGAGGAGTGAGCGATCCAAAAGACAGCATTTGCTATTTAAAAAAATATTTATTTGTCTAGTTCTTCTGCACCCATCCCCCCATCAGAGGTGCGGGGGTGAGAGGATTCACCAGAGACAGAGTGGGGAGCAGAATAGGTGGATTCAGAAGACAGCATATTAAATAATCTTCTCAGATTAATGTGACTATAGGATGACATCTGAAAACACGACACACTTTCCCCTTAATAACCTCATGAATTGGATGTCTTAATTAGATATTGTTTTCTAAGTCTCTAACTGGGATCTCTCCCTTGGGTTCTAATTATATTCATCTGTCTACCAGATTCTCCAACTGGTCAATCTACAAGTGCCACATAGGCCTGACACAGCTTTTCATAAAACCCAATCCTTTTCCAAAGTTCACTAACAGCAAATAGCACCCCCAACCAAATAGCTATACCCCGAAATCCCATGTGCTCCTTATCTCCTTCTTTTCCCCAAGTCCTTTAGATTCTATTTCCTTAATAATTTTTTTACTCTGTCTTCACCTTTGGAACCTCAACACTGCTGTCATTGTCAGATCACAATCATCTCTCAATACGTTAAACCAGTCTTCTGATAATCTCTAATCCACTCTCTACACTGCTTCCTCAGAGACAATTCAAATTTCACCCAATCACTCTTCTGCATGAAATCCTCCAATAACTCCCAATTATCCTTAGGTTAAAATCTCTGCTGAGTAAAACTTGTAAGTCGAGGCCCCCTCAAACCCCCTCCCCCCACTTTGAGTTTTTCAGACACCGGCCTCTATTTCTACCTCTTGATTAGGTTTTTGCATCCATCTTGAAACCTCTTTCAGCACTTTTTTGCCTTGCTAACTCCTATGCATATTTCGGGTCTTAGAAGCTTTTCCTAATCATCAATTATCCTTTCCCCCTACAGCTGCGTCAGAGGGTCTACCCCAGGAACTCAAAGCTCCAATGTTTGCCATCAGTCCGCTTCTCGTTTCCCAATGGGCTTGAAGCCTACAGAGTGGCTGGAGAAGTGTTTACGGTTCACGGAGAGAGTCGCAGAAGTAGCGGTAGGACGAAAGGTGGCAGTGTCGCCCGGACACTGCCAGCGAAGCCAGGGAGGCAAAAAGACAAGGTAGAGGGGACCAGAACAGAAAGAAAATTCGGGACAGACAAGATAAAAAGGACAGGGTACGAAAACAGCACTCACGGAGCCAAGCTGCTGAGACCGGTAAGCAGCCATGGGGCGCCCGAGGCTCCGCCTCCGAGGAACCCGGGACAGTCGCCCGCGCGAGTGCTCGCGGGAGGATCGCTGACGTCATCGGTGGGGGCGCCTCCGTTTCTTCCTGCCACGGGCATCATCCGGCCGCCATTCTCTGTCACCCTGGTCTACCTTCCCAGTGCTATTCGGTCGGGTATCCTTGGAATGGTGTGGGGGTGCTAGGGGGAAAAGGATGTCCTAAAGCTAATTCCATACAGGCTTCGTGGACTCCACCCCCACCCCAGGCCAAAGCCAAAGACACTGGGAACTCCAAATCCCATCACCACCAAAGGGAAGGTGGCTGGGACCTGAGGGTGGGGTTAAGCAGTCAGGTTGGCATAAAGCCAGACACGTGGGCTGGGGTGGGGGGGTGTTCCCCATTTTGGCTCTCCATCAGCTCGCAGCGACCGGCCAGCTCTGAGAGTGACTTTGGGTTTCCAGGTCGGCGGATCGGGTAGGACGCATTAAAGACTTTATTTCCCTATTTTCTCCCTGAGTTGTATATTTTCCTTATTTCCTTTTCCCTTGTAAATAAACCTTTTATTAACCTTTTGTGTGTGCCTGTAGTGGAGTATTCATAAGTCCCTTGTAAGCGCGCGGGTGAGGATCCACAGCCAGGCAACCCGTTCAATATCAGGACTGCCCTATAACAGCGAGACTTCAGGAGTTCAAATACAGTGGGCCTGCTTGATAACTCCTAAGCATCTTTCGGAGCTACTTGATCTTGTTACGCGAGAGAAGTATTTCTTCCTTAATACAACCAGAACATTCTGTCATATTTAGGTTATGGCCTTAGTTAATTGCTTTAATTATTTAACTCTTCTCCCACTTAACTGTCAGTACCTATGTTACTGGACTCTGGGTTCTTGAGCTCACTGAAAAGTAGAAATAATGGAGACTAATCCTGTAGGTACCAAGGAAGAACTTAGTAAATCTTGTGCAGTTCAGCATAAGAGAGTCAGCATCAGAGACAGGGTCTGTATGCTGCTCCCTGAGGAACAGGTGGAGGCTCTATTTAAGCAGTTTTAACCCAGTATAATTAAAGGGCTAAAATCTTTTGTTTACTCTCCTTTCCGTGAAGTCATTCCATCTCAAACATGTGGTTCCTTGTGCCTGTGACCTCTTCATGATGGATTCCATATCATTCACCTTAAAGGTTGTTAGCCTAAAGGGTTGTGTTAGTGTGAAACTTTATTTCATCTAAAGTATGCACTGGGGAGAGGTTCCTTCTTAAAGATAGGGATTCACAGTGTGGGTAGATGACCTTGTCTTGCATCATCAGGGAAGAAAATGCTATTTTCTACTTTATAATGACCTGGTCAGTCTCAATCTCAGATTATGTCCGGTCTGGTGAGAATGTCCTGAGTGAGAATCACTAGACCCTATTTCCTGCCTAACAGACTTAGAAATTATCCATTTTTTTCTTTTTTGAAATAACCATCATTTATTTATTTATTAAAGATTTATTTATTTATGCATTCAAGAGCTGGGGTACAGGCCAGAGTTGCTGGGGGTGAGACAACTCACCAGAGACAGACACGGTGAACAGGGAGTGCTAACATGTGGAGGAGACAGAACCAGAAAAGATATAAAGGGAAAAATATAAAGGTTCAGAGCTCTCCTGCCTGCCTGTGACTATACAGGTGCCTCTCTTTCTTAATTTTCCTAGTAAACGTGGCCTTTAAAAATGCAGGGGAGAAAAAAGAGAGATAAAGGATCAAATGATAGAACTTAAAGAGAAAAAATGGCCAGGGGAATGATAAGCACAAAGACGATGTGGTGGAAATACAAGGAAGTCAGTAAGGCTAGAGGGGAGGAGAGAGTAAAAAGGTAAAGTGAAAAAGGAACATTTTAAACCCTTGTGCACTTATAGTGTTAAAGGACAGCCCCGATATTAAACGGGTTGCCTGGCTGTGGGTCCTCACCCGCGCGCTTAAAAGGGACTTATTAATACTCTACTACAGGCACACACAAAAGGTTAATAAAAGGTTTATTTACAAGGGAAAAGGAAATAAGGAAAATGTACAACTCAGGGAGAAAATAGGGAAATAGTCTTTAATGCGTCCTACCCGATCCGCCGACCTGGAAACCCAAAGTCACTCTCAGAGCTGGCCTGACGCTGCTAGCTGGCGGAGAGCCAAAATGGGGGACCCCTCCAAAGCCCACGTGTCTGGCTTTATACCAACCTGACTGCTTAACCCCACCCTCAGGTCCCAGCCACCTTCCCTTTGGTGGTGATGGGATTTGGAGTTCCCAGTGTCTTTGGCTTTGGCCTGGGGTGGGGGTGGAGTCCACAAAGCTTTAGGACATTCTTTCCCCCTAACAATTGGAGCTTCAAATTGTTTTTAGAACAAGATGGAGTCAACAGTAAGTATAAACATTGTAGACAATAAGAATGCTTTCGTCATTTAATAGGAAAATAAAGACTTAAATTCTACAAGGTATGGTATCCTCTAATTCAACTTCACATTTGATAAAAGCTCTCTATACCTTATTGAATGTGTTGTAGAGCAACCCCGATACAAAACGGGGTGCCTGACTGTGGGTCCTCACCCGCGCGCTTAAAAGGACTTATCAATGCTCTTCTGCAGGCACACGTGAAAGGTTAATAAAAGGTTTATTTACAAGGGAAAGGGAAATGAGGAAATGTACAGCTCTGGGAGAAAAGTGGGAGACAAAGTTTTAAATGCGTCCTACCCGATCCGCCGATCAGGAATCCCAAAATGGCGCTCTGAGAGCTGGCCGCCAGCCAGGAGCGGTGAAGCCAGGAGGCGAGCGATCGCGAGCCAGAGAGCGAGCAAGGCCCACGTGTTTGGTTTTTATATCCAACCTGGCTGCCCAACTCCACCCTCAGGTCCCAGCCACCCTCCCCTTGGTGGTGATGGGATTTGTCTTTCCCAATGTCCTGATGGCTTTAGTCTGGAGTGGGGGTGGAGTCCACAAAGCCTGTATGAGATTATCTCAGGACATCCTTTCCCCCTAACAATTCCCCCCTTTCACTTTTTGCCACCATTTCCATGGTGATGAAGATCAAACATATGGATTCTGGGATACAGTCTCAGATGAAAATTTTCCAGGGTTCCAGTCTGAAAGAAAACGAATCCCTCCAGGTAGTGTCCATTGTGGAAAGCAAAAGTCCTCCATTCCTGGAAAAACAGTTCATCAGTCCCAGCCGAAAGAAAACATCTGGAGGCATTAGCCAGAACAAGACAGCAGATATGTCAAAAATCACAGGAAAAAAAATCTTAAAATGGTTCAACTTATGTAAAGACAAATTCTCTCAACCTTGATCCCAAATTTTTTAAAACAGCATAGCAAAAGTTTGCAAACCAAATCTACTTTTAAACCATATTGCCTATTTTTGCATAAAATCACAGGGCAGAATAACTAAGCAGCAATTTTTAGCTGGCTCCGTTGGAATACTCCATATAGGATTCAGAGCGAACTGTTGACATCCGGTCCGTGTAGGCTTCTGAAAGAAGTTGGTCTCATCAGACTCCACCTGGGCTTTCCTCTTCTCGAGGGTACCAGGGCATTTTCGTTGGCCGGGTTGTCCAGTCCTGCCAATGGAGGCAAGCTTCCTCACCTTCTTTGGAGGTCTCTGGAACCCTACAAACAAGGCAAACAGGTTCTCTTCTTCTTGGTTCAGCTCTTTTTCAACTTTCTGGAAGAACTCCACACAAAGCCACACAAACAACCTCACGTCCAATTTTTTGTTTAAGCAGACAAAACTCTTGTGATTAATAAAACTTTTCCTTCCTATTTCCAAAGTCTTAGGTTTGCAGGATGACAACTGGAAATTTTTCTGCCAGCAACACTCCACATTTTTTTTGGACTTTGATATTTTTTTTCTGAGCCTATGGAGTAAAACTGCAGTTACATAACATATTCTACGTGGCATAACTAAAAAAAAACTGTCTTTGTCTATACGTTGTATGTCTGTATGTCCTTGTGTCTAACTGTCTTGACCTCCAGTGATCGACAAATTGGTATACATGGTGCCCATAGACGTTGGAAAAAAAAAAAAAGAGTCTCCAGTTATGATAAAAACAAAAAAGTTATGGTTTGATTGTCAACATTGTGCTACTGAACTAAGCCGGTGCCTTCATAGAGATTGAATATTGTTGTTTCTGCTAATTTTCTGATATTTATGGCAAAGCTTCCCAGAAATCTAAATTCAAGTACAAATTTGGTAGCCTGTCATTTGACTGATGCAAGGAAATTTTGTGGAACCTCAGTAGAGCTCCTGAGACACTCCACAAAGTTTCTGCCTTTCCTCCTGGGAAGGCATTACATGAATTTGTTCTATTTGGCTTTTACCTAATGAAGTAAAACTGGAAGGGAAGCACTGTCACTTGGGAAAATGGTAAAACTTTGGTATGTACAAAATGTTAACAGTAGTTTTCTAAAATGTGTATGAAAAAACCTCTCAGTATCTGGTATGTATGTAAATTGTCAATGGTGATTGTCACCTTGTAATATTGTATAATTCAATTGTTTCAAATCTACAGAAATTGTTTCTGGAAATATAGGGAGAAAAGGTCTCAACAGATTCCTATTGATGGCACTGTTGAGAGTAAAAAACTTTCCTACAAAGGACTGAATAGACCTGGAAATACACCTGACATTTACTAAGGTTTCTTTGACATAATACTGGAAATTTTTTTATGCATTCTGTCCTGAATCCACGAAGTTTTTGTTTTGTTTTGTTTTGTTTTGAGTAACCAGGATCTGCAGAAAGGTTGTAATTTTTTTCCAGCAAAGCTAACTTGTCACATTTTTTTCTCCCCTTGATACCAACACAGCATACAAATAGTGGTAGTAATTTTTGCTACTTATTTCAGAGTCTGTTTTTGCATAACTTCCATAGGGATTTTGTCTGTTTTAACAAAAAATTGGACGTGAGTTTGATTGTGTGGCTTTGTGTGGAGTTCTTCCAGAAAGTTGAAAAAGAGCTGAACCAAGAAGAGGAGAACCTGTTTGCCTTGTTTGTAGGGTTCCAGAGACCTCCAAAGAAGGTGAGGAAGCTTGCCTCCATTGGCAGGACTGGACAACCTGGCCAACAAAAATGCCCTGGTACCCTCGAGAAGAGGAAAGCCCAGGTGGAGTCTGATGAGACCAACTTTATACCTGAAGCCTACATCGACTGGATGCCACCGGTTCGCTCTGATCCTGTATGGAATATTTCAACAAAGCCAGCTAAAAATTGCTGTTAGTTATTTCTGCCCTGTGATTTTATGCAAAAATAGGAAAAATGGTTTAAAAGTAGATTTAGTTTGCAAACTTTTGCTATGCTGTTAAAAGTTTGGGATCAAGGTTGAGAAAATTTGTGTTTTACATCAGTTGAACCATTTTAACATTTTTTCCCTGTGATTTTGATATATTTGCTATCTTGTTTTAGCCAATTCTCCAGATTTTTTTTCTTTTGGCTTGGATAATGGACTATTTTTAAGTAATGAAACTGTCATACTGGACATTCATGGACAATGCTGCTGACTAATTGTTGCTTCTCTTACACACATTGTAACCCTGAAAAAAACAGTCTCCTAAGACTACACCCTGAGATTGTGCCACCATAGATATGGTGGAATAAAATTAAAAGGGGGGATTGCAACAGGGTGGTCCCCAGGAAAGGGGGAGGTTCCCTGCCCCACCCTAAGGGAGGGTGGAGCTGAGCAGGAAGAGGAGAAGCTGCAGAAGAGACTAAGGAAGGAAGCAGGATGGAGCCAGGAGAACTGGAGGAGGCGCATGGAGCCTAGAGACAAGTAAAGAAACTGCGCTTGTCTTTTGATCGTGGACTGGGTGACACAGATGTGAGTGAGACCTGTGGGGAGGTGACAATGGCAGCTTTTATCTTCATGTTGATTTTGCTCTTTTCCTTCCGGGCTTGTCCGGTTGTTTGTGACCCTTTTCTCTGGGTCCCCACTGGAAGATGCTTTAGACTTGTAGCAGGCTTTGGGGCCTTGCTCTGGGCCGATCCCATATGGATGGAGTTTTACCCACGAGGGGACGGGTAACTTTGGGTGCTTCATTTAGAAACTAGACTCTTTGCCTTTCCTGTATTGTTTCCTAGTTTTATTAAAGATCCTTCCCATTACTCTCATGTGTTTTGTGTTGATGCGGCGGATGGCCGAACCCATTTAGAATAGGCAGGTTTGCGGGGTTTGGGCTGCCCCTCTCCCTGTCCTATAACAAATGGACTAGTTGTGTACTTTGATGCCAGGTTCTTTATAAAATGAATCTTTGTTTGCAATTATTTCCCATTATTACATCAGAGATGGGTTCCTTCCCTACTGTCAAAATGTTATAGGACAGGGAGAGGGGCAGCCCAATCCCTGCAAACCTGCCTATTCTAAATGGGTTCTGCCATCCGCCGCATCAACACAAAACATAGGAGACTTTAATGGGAAGGAACTTTAATTAGGAAACAATACAGGTAAGGCAGAGTCTAGTTTCTAAATGAAGCACCCAAAGTTACCCGTCCCCTCGTGGGTAAAAGTCCATCCAAATGGGATTGGCCCAGAGCAAGGCCCCAAAGCCTGCCACGAGTCTAAAGCATCTTTCAGTGGGGACCCACGGAAAAGGGCCAGAAACAACCGGACAAGCCCGGAAGGAAAAGAGCAAAATCAACATCAAGATAAAAGCTGCCATGGTCACCTCCCCATGGGTCTCACCCACATCTGTGTCACCCAGTCCACGACCAAAAGACAAGTGCAGTTTCTTCACATGTCTCTAGGCTCCATGCGCCTCCTCCAGGTCTCCTGGCTCCATCCTGCTTCCTTCCTCAGTCTCTTCTGCAGCTTCTCCTCTTCCTGCTCAGCTCCACCCTCCCTTGGGTGGGGCAGGGAACCTCCCCCTTTCCTGGGGGCCACCCTGTTACAATAATAACAAATCCCACAGAGAAGTTGAAAGCTTTCTCTCATTGGAGTCAGATTCTGGCCACCTTGTTAAAACACTAACCAAAATCTAGTCAAAGTCGCAAACCTAATTATTCTTTTTGCTTTCAGTATTTTCTTAACTCTGGAAGACACCCTCTATTTATCCAGTCCATGAGATGTGCCCTGTATTCTGGTATTTACTTTTGATAATTCATGGGTGCGTAGAGTTTAGGTTACAGTGGTAAGAGAAAGCAGTATTTGATCTGCTGCATTCCCCCCACCCCACCCCCACCTCCCGTGCCACCACTGGTATGATTTAAATGTCAGGAGCTTAATCTGGTGGCAGTATGTAGGACCAAATGAGAAGTGCAGGAGAGAACAAGAGGCCACTGAAGTAGACTAGGCTTGATTTAATAAGGATCTTAAAGGAAAGGTGGGCAAGGGGGAGGAGTTAGAGGGAGGGAAGTGTGGATTGTGAACTGCCTCTGATCTGATGATTTTGAACAGGCTGTGCTTGTCCAGGGGCAGCTGGAAATGTTGTATCACAGTCAGAAGAGAGATCAGGGCCAAAGGGATAACTCTGGAATTCACTATATTGAAATCTGGAAGTTAAGCACCACACTATGATGCAATCCAAAGCCTCTGCAGCACGAGTTCGATCCCGGCCGGCTAGGAAGAAACCCACATGGCACAGCAGACCTCTCCTGCCTCCTGCCTTACGGTGCACAGGGAGTGCTAACATGTGGAGGAGACAGAACCAGAAACTGAGCAAACTAAGACTCCCAGAAGGAGCTGAAAGATAGGTGTTGGGTGGAGCCTGGGACTGCCTGAAGTGAGAGAAACCAGAGTGCAGGAATCAAATCAGAAAGGCCAGGAAGTGACCTGAAGGAAGATCCGCCTCTGCCAGCGGCGCACAATGATGACGCAATTAGCGCGCCATTTTTCGAGGCTCCTGAGCCCGGGACAACTGCTTGCACGAGGGTATGGCTTTTTCCGTGGTATTCCCTGCTTGCTCCACCTCTTCGCTACCTATCCCAAGCCAGATTCAGACCACCTTAGTAATTCCATAAGCGGTCCATTCGTATGATCTTTCCTGTGAACTGTGTAGAACGCCCTGCAAAGTGGGTCCCACGTAATTCGGCCACTTTCCCAATTAATTTATTGAACCAAGCAACCTATCGACCGCTTACTTTATTTCAGGGACCAGACAAGTAGTTAGGGATACAGCTGTTACGCAAACAACCCTGCGTCTTTCTGTATCAATGGAAATGATAAACCAAAATCAAAAGGTTTATTTTGATAATTCCTGTGAAGGAATTACGGTATGGAGGACTGTTGTCAGGGACTTAACTTTGGAAAGGGTGGTCAACCTGGGTTGGGGTGCCCTGAGAAAGGGAGATATCCGGACAGATCTGGAAAGAGCTTCCTTTAGTGAAATGAGGCCTGAATGGGTAGGGGAAAGGGCGCTGGTGAGTGATGGGAATCAAGGGTCCATCTAGTCAACAAGTTTTAAAGTTTTTCCTTTTTAAGCCTCAAGTATTCGAAGCTTTGGTATTCCAATGAAGATAAAACAACCACAGTACATGCTCACATGGAGATGTTCTAGTGGGGGATGTAGAACTAAAAATTAAAATGTCAGATGATGACCAGTACTATGAAGGAAATAAAAATAGGCTTCTTCACAGCAGTTGGTCAAGGAAGTCCTTTTCAAGAATGGGATTGTGGGGCCTCTCTAGTGGCACAAGGATTTAGGGCGCAGCCTATAATGCTGTCTGCAGCCACTGCAGCATGAGTTTGATCCCTGGCCAGGGAGATACCCACATGGTGCAGCAGACCTCTCCTGATTCGCCTGCTGCTCCCCTCAGCAGTGTATTTCAGTCAATCTGCCTGCTCTTTTCCCCACTCTGTCTCTGGTGAATCCTCTCACCCCCCACACCTCTGGCCTGTACCCTAGTTCTTGTATGCATAAATAAATCTTTTTTAAGAAAAAGAATGTGATTGCAACTGAAATCTGTGCAGATTATCAGGGTGACAAAAATACCTCTGGAACTGAGCTTGGCAAATTAGAGGAATAGAAAAGAAACGGTTGTGGTATTTAGAGGGTGAGAAGGCAAGTGTTATGAGATAGGGTTGGAGAGGGAGACTGAATAAGCCAGGATACTGAGTTGGAAGGTCATACCATGTGTGATTAGAAGACATGATATCATATATGCTGACAGTGTGGCAAGTAGATTGTGATTCTGACTGGAATGAGGGGTACTGGTCTGGAAGCCTGTGTATTAGTCTATGATGGTAGTGACTTGATCCTGTGATCCCTGTGTGTGTAGTCATGGCTGAATAAATGGTGCAGATCAGAAGCCCTCAGCCCTGCTGGAAGGGAAGTGTCCCTGAACATTGGGGCAGTGAGGAGTACTTCCCAGAGTTGGAGAAACCTGTGCTTGTCTTGAGTGGGAAGGCTTTAGATAGCGTGGGGGTAGGCATGAATTGGGGCAAAGGAGTGGAGAGGGGCCTAGGCAGGGTTTGGTGTGTAAAGCCAGGGTTCTGCTGGAAAAAAAAAAAGGGATCAAAAGTTAGAAAGGTGATCAGAGAGAGATGTGGGGAGCCATTGAACATCAGGTTCAAGGCTTTGGATTTACCTTAAGCAGGAACATTTTTTTTTTTTAATTTAAAAAGACATTTATTTATGCATGCAAGAGCTGGGGTGTAGGCTCAAGGTACATGGGTTGGGGGTGGGTGAGAGGATTCACCAGAGACAGTGTGGGGAGCAGAACAGGCTGATTGGCTGAAATTGACACTGCTGAGGGGAGCAGCAGGCGAAACAGGAAAGGTCTGCTGTGCCATGTGGGTCAGCTCCCTGGCCGGGGATTGAACTCATGCTGCAGTGGCTGGATACCTTCATAGTGCTGAGTCTTTAACCCCTGCGCCACAAGGGAGGGCCAGAACATAATATTTTAAAGCATTGAAGTAGAGGAACTATCATTTGACTTCAGCCCAGCTCATCTTCTGGGTTTATACTCTGATTTCATTGCTTTCAGAAAGTCTTTTCTTACTCCTTAAGTACTAGGGTGGTTCCCACACTCTTTTGGTCTTGACCATTCTAGACTGGAAATGTCTTGGTACTTTCCTATTTCTGTCTCCATCAATAAAATATAAGCTCAATGAGGAAGACGTGGTTTTGTCTTGTTCACAGCTGTGTTCCTAACATCATGCCTGGGGCCCAGCAAAGTGCATGTGTTCAAGGGACATGTGTTAATGATGTATGCACACCCTGATCCCCCATTACGAAAGCATACATTTTGTAGGATTAGGTGAAACCCCCAAAGCTACATTCTTCAGGTAACCATATCTCTGAATACCCCTATTTCCTCTACCCCACCCTAATGCCTCCAAAGCCTCAGCTGTTCTTGAAACTTGAATTTGAGGGCCTCCCGGGTGGCGCAGGGGGTTGAGCGCCGCGCTGTGAGGCTGTCCACAGCCTCTGCAGTGTGGGTTCAATCCCGGCCAGCCAGCGAGGATCCCACATGGCGAAGCAAACAACCTCTCCTGTTGCGCCCGCTGCTCCCTGCAGCAGTGTATTTCTGTTGTCTGCCTGTTCTGCTCCCTGCTCTGTCTCTGGTGAATCTTCTCACCTTCCCACACCTCTGGCCTGTACCCCAGTCTTGTATAAAAATAAATCTTTAAAAAAAAAAAAAAAGAGGGCCTCCCCTGGTGGCACAGGCAGTTGAGCGCTGCTCTGTGAAGCTGTCCGCAGTCTCTGCAGTGCCGGTTGGATCCCGGCCAGCCGGTGAGGGTCCCACATGGCACTGTAGACCTCTCCTATCTCGCCTGCTGCTCCCCTCAGCAGTGTATTTTGTCAGTCTGCCTGTTCTGCTCCCTGCTCTGTCTCTGATGAATCTTCTCACCCTCCCTCACATCTGGCCTGTACCCCAGTTCTTGTATAAATAAATAAATCTTAAAAAAAAAAAAAGACTTGAATTCGACTCAACAGATAGGCTATAATGTTATTATCTAAGAACCTAGTTCATCTCTCCAACAGGGACACCCACAGAGATGTCCTCAGTCCTTCACTTCTATGTCCGTCCTTCTGGCCATGAGGGGGCAGCCTCTGGATGCACTCGAAGAAAGCTGCAAGGAAAACTGCCAGAGCTCCGGGGTGTCAAGACTGAGCTGTGCTACAATGTGAACTGGACAGGTTGGACCAGGTATCGGGTTCTTGAGGGAGGTACTGCAGAGCCAGGGGCACAGTCTCAGGTCCTTGCCCTCTCTCCCTGCAGCTAAGTCCCTCCCAAGCACTGAGGAAATGAAGAAGCTGACGTGGCTGTTTGGCTGCCCCTTATTCCAAGATGATGTTGCTCAGAAGTCCTGGCTCCTTCCTGGTTCCAGTGACCTACTGTTGGAGGTTGGGCCCAGGCAAGTGTCTTGGCTTGGGGCAACTCATCTCATGTTCAGGGGCACATCACCCCTTCCAAACACTGCTCACCCCTTCTATTCTTCTTCCTCCCCTTGTGATCCTTGAGAGATTTGTTTTCCCTTCATTCCTTCCTTTTACCTGCCTAAAAAACCATATCATGCCTTTCCCGTGTGGGAAAATGTCTTTGAAGACTACGCTAGTTCCCAGGCATATTCTAGAAGTATAACAGGTTGCATTCTGAAAATTGAAATAGAAGCATTTTGATAAAAGACAGAAAAACAGGTATGGTTTACTTTGAGGAACCTTTGAAAGTAGATTTCTTAGTGCTTCAATTGGGAGACCAGAGGCCCATAGCCAGGGAGTAGAGTTGGAAGATTAAACGCTGATAGATACATCTACTGGTTCTCAGGTCATAACCATTCATCCCACTCCTCAGGCTGAACTTCTCCACCCCAACATCCACAAACATCGTGTCAGTGTGCTGTTCTGCTGGGCTGGGGGCTGTGGATCGAGTGGAGATTACCCGGCGCTACCTGCTCTCGGTGAGGTGATAGGTGATCATAGCGGAGGTGGACCAAAGATAAGAGAGTGAGGGAAATGATGGGAGAAGCAGGAAGAGGAGCTCCTGACCTTAGGCCTGGCCTGTTTACATATGGTTCACTGCCTAAGGTCACCTGGTCAAGGGGTGAAGGGAACAGAAATCTAGTCTTTGCTCCTTTACTAATTTGTACATCCTGGCATCATGCCTGGAAGGCATTTCTAATCTGATCAGAGGTGCTATATAGGCCGCAGGGGGCTGGGCCTGCTTGCCTGGGAGGACTGAGAGTGGATCATTTTGTCTTTTCTTCTACTTTCCATCCCTTCCCTTTCTGTGTCTTTATCCCCAGTTTGCTCATCCCCCTTCATCTGAGATGGAAGCCATTGCTCTGGCTACCCTGCATGACCGGATGACTGAGCAGCACTTTCCCAATCCCATCCAGAGCTTCTCTCTTGGTAGCATGCCAACACCCCTTAACAGCCACATCAACATACTGGCTGAGGGCCGGCTAGCCTTGGAGAAAGCCAACCAGGAGCTGGGTGAGCAGGGGTCCCTGGGAGGAAGGCCCAGTCCAGGCTAGGAAGGATGCTGAGAACTGGGATCTGGCAACCTGAGTCCTATAGTCAGCTCTCCTGGGGTTTGTCTCCTAGGTTTGGCCCTAGACTCCTGGGACTTGGATTTCTATACCAAGCGCTTCCAGGAACTGCAGCGAAACCCCAGCACCGTGGAAGCCTTTGACTTGGCACAGTCCAATAGGTGGGGAGAATGGGGATATTCTGATGTCTGAGGGCTGGAGGTTGAAAGGGAAATCCATAGCAACTCACCTTCTTGGCCTAGGAGTCTCCCAGAGTCTGAGAGTCTGGGCTTCCCATTCACCCTGTAGTCTATATTCAAATATTGGTTTTGTCTTCACATTGGATCTGGACATCTGAACAATCCATAAGAACAGAATGTTTGAAGATTGTGACTTGCTAGAATGTATCTTGAACAGTTATCTAAGTATGAGTTTGTTGTAACTGCTGCTCATGCTGTTGAGAAGACTAGGCCAAGTCTGAGAAAATGATTCCATGTTTCCACCCTCTCTTTGCCTCCCTGCTTCACCCTCTGCAGTGAGCACAGCCGACACTGGTTCTTCAAGGGCCGACTCCACGTGGATGGGCAGGAGCTGGCACACTCACTGTTTGAAACCATCATGAGTACCCAGGCATCCTCCAACCCCAACAACATCCTCAAGTTCTGTGATAACAGCAGGTGGGCTGTGCCTGAGACTGGGGTGACCTCAGGCCCAGGGGTGGGGAACCCTGGTGGGTTAAGTGCAGTTGCATTAAATTGAGAATGAATGTGTCCATAGTGCAATCCAGGGGAAGAAAGTTCAATTCCTACGGCCTGAGAACCCTACACGGCCAAGCTGCTTCCGGCAACAGCAGGGGCTGAGACATGTTGTCTTCACAGCAGAAACCCACAACTTCCCTACAGGTGAGCTGGGTGCCAGGGAGGATAGATCAGAGAGAGTAGGGTAGGGTGAAGATCCTAGGCCTCATGGTTAAACCTGGGAAATACAGTCAGGTTGGCTGGTCTGATTTTTGATGGGGTTGTCAGAGCTGAGGTTTGTCTCCTCAGTACCCATGTCTCTCCGCCCTCTCTTCACAGGTGTAGCCCCCTTCAGCGGTGCGACCACTGGCACTGGGGGTCGGATCCGAGATGTCCAGAGTACAGGCCGTGGAGCCCACGTAGTAGCTGGCACTGCTGGCTATTGCTTTGGAAATCTGCACATCCCAGGTCCCATCTCCCCCTCCAGATTTCTTTTCCTAGCACTGAACTCTTTTATGTCTTCAGCATAGGGTCATCTTGGGTAGCATTTCTTGAGAGGGAGGGCTCTAGAGTAGCTGGTCTTTCACTGACCATGGTCATGAGGACTACAGACCATGGGAGAACCAGGTCTCTAGACTGCTTTTACAGAACTGTAATTTTCCTTATGGGCTTGCATCTTCTCAGCAAGAATATCTACTAGTTGGATCTTATAACCACCACCTGCCACCAAAATTCAATTTCATAAAAGTCTTGAGAATTCTGATCCAAAGATTTAGAGGGAAGGCTGGTGTAGGACGTAGGGCACAAGATCACTGCTGAATTGCAGGCTTGCATCTTCCTAACATGGGACTTCCTGAAATGGCACAGTCTGCCCATGCAGGTGGTCCTTGGTGATTTTGACTCTTCTTGTAGGACCCTGGCTCCCATATTTTCTCTCTTTACAGTCCATTCGTTTTCTCTTTACCTCCCAGGCTACAGTTTGCCCTGGGAGAACCCAAGCTTTCAGTATCCTGGGAACTTTGCCAAGCCCCTGGAGGTTGCCATTGAGGCCAGTAATGGAGCTTCTGACTATGGCAACAAGTTTGGGGAACCAGTCCTGGCTGGTGAGACTGGGGGATATGGGGGAGATTGGGATACTTAGTCCCAGAGGTCGGTAGGGTATGTGATCCTGTCCCTTCTCTCTGATGTCTTTGCTCTAGGTTTTGCCCGCTCCTTAGGCCTCCAGCTCCCAGATGGCCAGCGGCGTGAGTGGATCAAGCCCATCATGTTTAGTGGGGGTATTGGGTCCATGGAAGCTGAACATGTGAGCAAGGAGCTCCCAGAGCCAGGTAAGAGCCTGCCACCTTTCTCCAAATCCACCTAGCCTTTTCCTGAGCATGTGGTAGTGCAGGAAAGGAATTTAGAGCACACTTCAGTGGTTGGTTTTTAATCTCCCAGCTTTTGCCTCAATATAGTTTTCAAGGCAGGACAGGGCTTTAAGCTAATAGAACATTCTCAGATTATATTGCTTCTGTGTCCTTCCGGGGTTACCTCTGCATGGCAAGGATCCAGCCTGCTATGTCAAGGCAGCCAGTGTTTATTCAGTACCTGCTGTGTTTAGGGGTTCTTATTTACTAGCTTATTTATTGAGTGCTCATGGGGGGCTGAGTATTCTGCTAGGTGCTGTGGTAGAATCAAGGTAAAGACCAAGTGTAATTTTTTGAATAGGTGATCCAGTCACATGGTTCAGAATTTGAAAGGTGTAAAGCTTTTAAAAACTCCTTTCCTGACCTGCCTCCACCCAATTTCTTCCCTAGAGATAATCAATATTAATAGGTCACCTTTGTAACTGTCAGAGGTATTCCTTACATATATAAACAGACCCATACATATATTTGCTCCTTTTTTTAAAAACAAATAGCATGTGTACTCTTTTTTTTTTTAAATAACCACTTTATTGAAATGTGATTCATGTATCATAAAGTTTATTCTCGTAAAGCATAAATCAGCGACTTTTAGTATCTTTGCAAAGTTGTGCACCAATTACCATTAATTCCTGGATATTTTTTATCACCTCAGTACTTATTAGCAGTCATTCTCCATGCCCCTTCCCTCAGTCTCTGGCAGTTACTAATCTACTTTTTGTGTTTATGGATTTGCTTATTCAAGACATTTCATATAAATAAAACCATACAGTAAATAGCCTTTTTGTGACTACCTGATTTCACTTAGCTTAACATCTTTGAGGTTCACCCATGTTGTATATATAGTTACTTCATTCCTTTTTTATTTTTTATATTTTTAATGATTTTTTTAAAATTTATTCATACAAGCACTGGGCACAGTCAGAAGCACGGGAGGGTGAGAGAATTCACCAGAGCCAGAGTGGGGAGCAGAACAGGCAGACCGACAAAGCACACTGCTGAGGGGAGCAGCGGGTGCGGCAGAAGAGGTCTGCGTGCCATGTGGGACCCTCGCCGGCGGCCAGGGATCAAAGCAGCGCTGCAGAGGCTGCGGGCATCTTCACAGCCCAGCGCTCAACCGATGCGCCACCAGGGAGGCTCCATTCCTTTTTTATGACTGAATAATCTACTATACAGATTATATCACATTTTTTAAACCCATTCATCAATTGATAAATGTAAACATTTGTGTATATGTTTTTCCATGTACATATGTTCTTATTTCTCTTGGGTATATAGCTAGGAATAGAATTGCGGGTTACATGGTAGCTATTTTTTTGAAATACTACCATAGTCTATTCCAAAGCAACTGTGCCATTTACATCCTGTTTCCCATTCCCAGCAACATAATGAGGGTTTCAATTTCTCCACATATTGGTCAATTCTTGTTATCTGATTGTAGCCATTATGGTGGATATGAAGTAGTATCTCTTATGGCTTTGATTTGCCTTTCCCTAATGATTAAAGATGTTGAGCATCTTTTCATATGCTTGATGGCCATTTGTGTATGGAGAAATGTCTGTTTGAATTCTTTGCCCACTGTAAAATTGGGTTACTTATCTTCTTTGCTGGAGTTGTAAGAGTTCTTTATGTATCTGAGTATGCAAATATTTGCATTTGCAAATACTTTCTCCCATTCTATGATTTTCCTTTATACTTTTTCTCATCGTGTCCTCTGAAGCATAGACATTTTTAATCTAATAAAGTCCAGTGTATTTATTTTGTTATTGTTGCTTGTGGTTGGGTATCATGTCTAGGAAACCATGCCTAATCCAAGGTCACAAAGTTTTACTGGAATGTTTTCTTATAATACTTTTATAGCTTTTGACTTTTACATTTAAGTGTCTGATACTTTTTGAATTAATTTTTGTATATGGTGTGAAGTAGGGGTCCATCTTTATTCTTTCACATGTGGCTATCCAGTTGTCCTAATATCACTTTTTGAATTGACTATTCTTGTCCCCATTGGACTTGGGACACCTGTCAAAAATCAAATGGTCACAGATGTATAGGTTCATTTATGAAATCACAGTTCTATTCCATTGATCTTATTTCTACCCTTATCTTAGTACCACTGCCTTGATTTCTGTAACTTTATAGGAGATTTTTTTTTTTTTAAGATTTATTTATACATACAAGAACCAGGGTACAGGCCAGAGTGTTGGGGAGTGAGAGGATTCACCAGTGACATAGTAGGGAACAGAACAGGCAGATCGACTGAAATACACTGCTGAGGGGAGCAGCTGGCAAGTCAGGAGAGATCTGCTGCACCATATGGGTTACCTCCCTGACCGGGGATCGAGCTTGCACTATAGTGGCTGCAGTGAGCTTCCTAGGTTGCGTCTTAACCCCTTGCGCCACCAGGGAGGCCCCATAGGAGATTTTAAAAGCAGAAATTAAGAGTTTTCCAGTTTTGTTCTTTTTTGAGATTGTTTTGATCTAGTTTCCTCACCTTTCCGCATAAATTTTGTTTTTTGCAAATGTAACATTTGTGAAGTAACATAAGAGCATGTACTAATTTTTATTTTTGATAGCATTTAATCACCAATCCCACATTGTTATAAATGGGTATGCATGCTTCTGTACACTTTTTTCATTTAGTAAGCTATTGGAGATCCTTTTGTGTTGATGAAATCATATTCTTTCATATGTAATTCTCTTTTTTGGTGGATTAGTTTTTCATCATATAGGTATACCACAATTCATTTAATCCACTTTCAGCATTTAGATTTCCTATTTTTGGTAATACAAATAATGTTGTAATGTTTGGTTTTGTACATAGGTGATTTTGACGTGTGTGTGTGTGTGTGTGTAGAAGAACTGGGGTACAGGCCAGAAGTGTGAGGGGTGAGAGGATTCACCAGAGACAGTGGGGAGCAGAACAGGTGAATCTACTGAAATACACTGCTAAGGGGAGCAGTGGGCAAGACAGTGATCTTGACTGGGGTTCAAGATCAGGCCTTAGCAGTGATAGTGCTAAGACTTAACCCTAGGCCACCAGGGAGGCCCAGTACATAGATGATTTTGTCTGAATAAATCTGGAGGATAAATTCGTTGAAATGGACATTTGTAATTTTAATTGCTTTCCCCTAATATCAATTTCCCTTTAAAAAAAAAAAGATTTTATTTTTGTGTAGAACTGGGATACATGCCGGATGTGCAGGGGGTTAAAGGATTCACCAGGGGCAGAGTGGGGAGCAGAACAGGCAGCCTAATATCAGCTTCCCTTTATCCTTATACATCTTTGTACTCTTCTCCTGGTGGCTTCCCAGTGTTTTAATTCTACCTTCCTTCCTTACAGGCATGGATGTTGTAAAGGTTGGGGGTCCTGTCTACAGGATTGGAGTTGGTGGTGGAGCTGCTTCATCTGTGCAGGTAAGTGAGAATAGCTTCAGACACAGACTCCATGGTGTCACTGGAGCCCCATACATGCACGGGATCTAAGCTTCTGGCCTCCTAAGCTAAACTGCCATATTTTTCCCCAGGTGCAAGGAGATAATGCTAGTGATTTGGACTTTGGGGCTGTACAGCGGGGAGACCCAGAGATGGAACAGAAGATGAACCGTGTGATCCGGGCTTGTGTAGAATCCCCTAAAGAAAACCCCATCTGCAGTCTTCATGACCAGGGTGCTGGTGGCAATGGTGAGAGAAGGGGTTCAGACAAAGGACCAGGCCTACCTGGAGTCCTGCCATGTTTGATTTAAGGAGAGTTGTTAGTGTCTGCAACCCACATGCCTAACTCTGGGCCCCATATTTTACCCTCTGTACATTCTAAGCAGCTTGGGGGTGGAAGCTTATAGCCAAGCGATGTTTGGTGGTATAATTCATGTAAAGACACCCGGAATTAGGGCTTCCTTTGGAGGCTGGGATTGCCCCTTGTTTCCCTGATGGTAATCATGACCAGATTGCTTCCTCTCTGCAAACCCTCTCACCAGGCAATGTCCTGAAAGAATTGAGTGACCCAGCTGGGGCCATCATTTACACCAGCCGCTTCCAGGTAGGTCTCATTCCCTGGAATCTGGCTATCTCCCTGCGTTACCCGCCCCAGCTCTCCCCTCCAGCTTTCTCCCACTCTTTTTTTTTTTCTCCCACTCTTAATATGATCTTGAGACTTGACAAGAACTGACCCATCTCTTTCCTCCTCCCTCATGGACGTGCAGCTTGGAGACCCAACTCTGAATGCCCTGGAAATATGGGGGGCTGAATACCAGGAGTCAAATGCACTTCTGCTGAGGCCCCTCAACCGGGACTTCCTGAATCGTGTTAGTGCCCGGGAACGCTGCCCAGTTTGCTTTGTGGGCAACATCACTGGAGATAAGAGAGTGAGTTGACCCAGGGTGTCAGCAACAGGTGCTGTGAGTGGGTTTGCGCTGCCTAAGTACAGCCAGAGGGAGAGCCATTAAGAGAATGAGATGAGGGCCTCCCCGGTGGCGCAGCGGTTGAGCGCTGGGTTGCGAAGCTGCGCGCGGCCTCTGCGGCGCCGGTTCGATCCCCGGCTGCTCCCCGGCCACCGGAGGAGGGTCCCACATGGCGCGCAGACCTCTCCTGCCGCCCGCTGCTCCCCTCAGCAGTGTACTTCGGTCCTTCTGCCTGCTCTGCTCCCCGCTCTGGCTCTGGTGAATTCTCTCGCCCTCCCGCGCTTCTGACTGTACCCAGTGCATGTATAAACAAAACAAACAAAGAAACCAGCAAACAAATAAATAAAGCATGCCTCTATAAAAAAAAAAAAAAAAAAAAAAAAAAAAGAGAATGAGATGAGAGGAAGACGGGAGCTGGTGGCAAGCATGCTGTGGGGAATAGGACGGTGAGGGATTGTAAGGGGTGGCGACTCAACAGGGAGAACCAAACAAGGTGTAAAGAGCGTTTCTGCTCTCAAAGTATTCCCTAATAGTCTATTCTCTCTGGGTGGTCTCTAGATAGTGTTGGTGGATGATCGGGAGTGCCCTGTGGGAAGAAATGGCCAAGGCGATGCCCCCTCAGGGCCTCCCCCAACCCCTGTGGACCTGGAGCTGGATTGGGTGCTGGGCAAGATGCCTCAGAAGGTATGTAGGTGGGGATGAAGGAACTACATCACTCCCTTATCCAGCCCAGCATTTCAGACCTCATTTTACCCTATGTGGACGTTGTCATCTGTCTAGGGCTGCTGCTCACATCATGTCATCATCTGTGTTGCAGGAGTTTTTCCTCCAGAGGAATCCTCCTATGCTGCAGCCTCTGACCTTGCCCCCTGGACTGAGCACGCGCCAAGCTCTAGAGCGGGTTCTGAGGCTACCTGCTGTGGCTAGCAAACGCTACCTCACCAACAAGGTCTCCCTGTACCCCTGCTCTGCCCCCTTAGCCCTTTGCTCACCTTCTCTTGGCCTTCTGTCCCTGTGGACTGCTGTGGCCTTCACCAGGCCCGAAGAGGAAGTGACAGGGACAGTACAGCCATACCACTGGCCTGATCCCCTGTTATCCACCCTCTGAATAGAGCTCTTGTCTGCATGTTCGGGCCAAAGTAGACCTTCTACCACCTGTGTCCCTGTCCCTTGGCCTCTTGCCAATCCTGCCTGGTTCTGCAGGTGGACCGCTCCGTGGGTGGCCTGGTGGCACAGCAGCAGTGTGTGGGGCCCCTACAAACCCCTCTGGCAGATGTGGCAGTTGTGGCACTGAGTCATCAGGAGCTCGTTGGGGCTGCCACTGCCCTAGGAGAGCAGCCAGTCAAGAGCCTACTGGACCCCAAGGTTGCCGCCCGGCTGGCTGTGGCTGAAGCTCTCACCAACCTGGTGTTTGCCCTCATCACTGATCTCCGAGTGAGTCCCCCACTGCTTCTGCCCTGGGGCTCTAGGCCTTGGACACGTCCACAACTGCCATTCACCTTTTCTCCCCTCACCCCTTGTGCTCTTGTGCTCTTGACCTCCCATCCCTCTTCCCCCAACCCAGGCCCTCCACCCTCCCTCTACCTTCCCCTCTGATGTTGAGTCTCTGCTACTTCTAGGATGTGAAGTGCAGTGGGAACTGGATGTGGGCAGCTAAGCTCCCAGGGGAGGGCGCGGCTCTGGCTGATGCCTGTGAGGCTATGGTGGCAGTGATGGAAGCCCTAGGTGTGGCGGTGGATGGTGGCAAGGACTCCCTCAGCATGGCTGCCCGGGTTGGCTCTGAGACCGTGCAGGCTCCTGGTAAGGTCTGGGGGCCACAGGTAGAGGACTGGGACCTGCAAGGCTATGTGGGTGCCTCACTCATATTCCTTGTTCGGTAGGGTCACTGGTTATCTCAGCCTATGCTGTCTGTCCAGACATTACAGCCACTGTGACCCCAGACCTCAAGCGTCCTAGAGGGAGAGGTATGTATTCTGCCCCTTCCTCACAGCAATGTGTATTACAGATCCTCGTCCACTGGGGTCTGTGGTGTGAGTTCTGGGCCCCCTCATGTTGGCACAGCATGGTGGTACTTTCTGTGACTGGTGGCTCATGTGTCTCACCACATGCTGGGAGCTTCAGTGTTTGTGCTCATCGTGGAGAGGGGTTCTTCTGAGCTTCCCTTCTATCATGCCTTTCCTGTCTCCCAGGCCACCTGCTCTACGTGCCTCTGAGCCCTGGACAGCACCGACTGGGAGGCACGGCTCTCGCCCAGTGCTTCTCTCAGCTTGGTGACCAGCCTCCTGATCTGGACCTTCCTGAGAACTTGGTGCATGCCTTCAGCATCACACAGGGGCTACTGAGAGGTGAGTAAGTCCCTGGGGGAGATGGTGCATGGGGCAGGTGTTCCCTAGCTGAGAATGTGGGGTGAGGCAAGAACACACGCCCTTCTCTCTGGGCCTCTGAGTGCACCCACATTCTCTCACATACTCTCTACCAACTCTCCAGAAGGGATGGGGATGGTGGTGCATTGAGGTTGCTGAACTTTTTCTTTCTCCTTCCTCTAGACCGCCTTCTTTGTTCAGGCCATGATGTCAGTGATGGGGGTCTTATTACCTGCCTGCTAGAGATGGCCTTTGCTGGGAATTGTGGGATAGAGGTGGACGTGCCTGCTCCTGGGGTCGATGGTGAGAAGCCTGTGGTCTAGACTCAGGCCTGGGCTGCCTGCCCCACCCTTTAGGCCCCACATCCTGTCAAGAATGGAGTATCCCCAATCCCTTTTTCCCTGTACCCTTGCTCTCATCTGTGATTACTCATCTAGGTGGCACCCACTGTTCCTGACTGTACCCCTCTGAGACCTCCCACAGATCTTAGTGCCACATCCTTGGTCCCACTCTCCCAAACCTTACCTCACCCTTGTCTCCTGCCCCCACAACCTCAGCCATACCCCTGGCTCCACCTCCGAGTCTCTGACTGCACCCTAGTCACCCTAATGGCCCCATGGCTCTCCTAGTACTGCCTGTGCTGTTTGCTGAGGAGCCGGGTCTGGTGCTGGAGGTACAAGAGCCAGATCTGACCCAAGTGCTGAAACGTTACTGGGATGCTGGCCTCCACTGCCTGGAACTGGGCTGCACGGGTGACGCTGGGCCCCATGCTATGGTGAGGAAGTGAAAAACGGTGCAGATCACCTTCACCTCTGCTAGCCTGAGGGAGGTCCAGCTTGGGCATCCTTGCTCTTGGCCCCTAAAAGATGTGACTCTCTCTCCAGGTCCAAGTATCAGTGAATGGGTCTAAGGTTCTGGAGGAATCTGTTGGTCAGCTGCGAGCCCTCTGGGAGGACACAAGTTTCCAGCTGGACCGGCTGCAGGCAGAACCATTCTGTGTGGCAGAAGAAGAACGGGGACTGAGGGAGCGGATTGGGCCTAGCTACTACCTGCCAGCCACCTTTCCCAAAGCTTCTGTGCCCCATGAGCCTGGTGAGAGATTGTATGCCTCCACTTGGCTTTTTGGGCACTTTAAATCCGAAAGCCTACCCTTGAAAAGGTATCTAGGGACTTGGCATAGGGAAATAGTTCCCTGGCACAGGGCTGCTTCTTCCCCCCAGGTGGCCCCACCCCCCGAGTTGCCATATTGCGAGAAGAGGGCAGTAATGGAGACCGGGAGATGGCTGATGCATTCCACATGGCTGGGTTTGAGGTTAGCAGGGTGACTGGCAGAGTTGGGACAGGGCTCAGATGGTTTGTTTTTTGACCCTACCCCTCCCCATCTTGCCAGGTGTGGGATGTGACCATGCAGGATCTCTGCTGTGGGGCAATTGGGCTGGACACATTTTGTGGTGTGGCCTTCGTGGGTGGCTTCAGCTATGCAGATGTCCTGGGCTCTGCCAAAGGTAGGTGTGTAAAGTTCTATTCCTTCCCTTCCTGACACATTTCTGAAAAGGTGCCATAGCTCCCCCCTTGCTTGACTGAGAATTGGCCTTTCATGTCTGTCAGTCCAGGGGAGAATGGGTATATTTTTCTGGGCCAGATGCCAGCAGAAGACCTGCAGGAAACATGAATGAGGCTGCAGGTGAGATGGCACTGTCCCAACCATGAGAGCTTATACTCTGTCTAAAAGGGCAGCCAATTCCAGCAGATTGTCCTGTTGAAAAGCTGACTCAACATAACCAGATTTTTGTTTTCCCAGTGAAGCAAAAAATCCCTGTATTTTTTACATGAATCTTATTTTCAAATATTAGGCAATGGAATAAAAACTTCTGAAAATGCTCTGCTGGCCAAGAAAAAAAGCTTATGGACCATCTTTGGCCTAGGAGTTGGCAACATCTGTTTTAAACCAGTAAACCCATTTCTTCCCTTAAATTTGCCCTGTGCTCTGCAGAGGGGGACAGTCCTAGGAGTGTAACAGTGCATGCTGGGATGGAAGTACAGCTGTCTCTTTCATTCCAGGTCTCACCCCAACTTCCCTCTCTCCTTCTAGGATGGGCAGCTGCTGTGACCTTTCATCCACGGGCCGGGGCTGAGCTGAGGCGCTTCCAGAAGCGACCAGACACCTTCAGCTTGGGCGTGTGTAATGGCTGTCAACTGCTGGCTTTGCTGGGCTGGGTGGGAGGTGACCCCAATGAGGAAACAAGGGAAATGGACCATGGCCCCTGGCCAACCCAGCCTGGCCTTCTGCTGCGCCACAACCTGTCTGGGCGTTTTGAGTCTCGCTGGACCAGCGTGCGTGTGGGGCCTGGACCAGCCCTGATGCTACGAGGAATGGAGGGTGCCGTGCTGCCTGTGTGGAGTGCTCATGGGGAAGGTCAGGTTCCCAGAATACGGGGGGAAGGGTCTGAGGGCAGGGGTGGGTGAAGGACATGAAGGAGCTTTGCTTTTACTTTCCCTTTCCTTTCCTTACAGGTTACATGGCATTTTCTTCTCCAGAACTCCAAGCCCAGCTTGAGGCCAAGGGCTTGGCCCCACTGCACTGGGCAGATGATGACGGGAACCCCACAGAACAGTACCCCCTGAATCCCAATGGTTCCCCAGGGGGTGTGGCTGGTGTCTGTTCCCTTGACGGTCGCCACCTGGCTCTCATGCCTCACCCTGAGCGGGCTGTGAGGCCTTGGCAGTGGGCGTGGCGGCCCCCTCCATTTGACACTCTGACCACCTCCCCCTGGCTTCAGCTCTTCATCAATGCTCGAAACTGGACCCTGGAAGGAGGCTGCTGAGCAGGCTAGGGAGACTCATCTAGGCCTCTTGGTTTGTGCCAGGGGATATCTGCTGTCCTCTCCTTTATCTTCAGAGGTACCCCCTATTATTTCCAAATGTATCTTGGACAAACAAGGACAAAAATGCCCCAAAAAGGACTCATCTAATTTTATTAATCTTTCCATTCTTTGCCTTAAGCTGTGGGATCTGTTTCTAGTTCTGTTCTAACATGTTTTGGCCTTCATGAGCCCAAGAAATAGCAGGTGATCCTGAGAAAAGAGCCTGCAGGGGTGAGTTGGGCTGTGTGGGGAGGGGCTCCCATTGCTCCACTTCACTCAACCATGTCGTGCCTGCGTCACACATCTGGGCTTGGAGGAATGTTTTCAATGAAGCCTTCCTTCCTGATCATTGGAGTTCAGGGGTTAGGACTTCGGCATTCTCTTCTGGAAAACAGAAGTTTCATGGACTCTTTTTAAAATATAGCCTATGCTAAGCAATTGTTTGCGGAAGTTTCTCTGATGGAGTTTTTGGCTGTCTTGGTGCTGGCTTCTAAACTCAATAGTTCTGACTTTTTTTCCCTCCTAATTTAGCAGCTCCCTTCCTGATAGAAGTGGTTCAGCGCCCTCAACTAAGGCTTCACTCATTCATTCCAGTAATGTTTGGTGATTAGCTATAGTGTCAACCACTGTCACTGCCCAGGGGGTTATGGTCTAGTAGAATTTATAGTAATAGTTGTATGTGGCACCTAATGCAAGCCAAGCACATGCCAGTCAGTTTATATGTGTCTATAAATTAATTCAAGAGAATTCAGCAACGTACTTGATAGTTTTGTTTTTTATAAGAAAGAATTAAGGTTAAATAAATGGTCTAGGGTCACCCAGCTTGTAAAGGCAGAGCCAGGAAGCTGTGTTCTCATGCTTCATCTGCTCCTCACCATCCTGTGATCACATTTCCTGGAAGCAGCAGAAGAGTTCTTACAGCTGGACCATTGTTCTTTCAGTCACAGGAGTGTGTATAGAAGACACTTCCTAGGCCTCCCTGGTGGCTCAGGGGGTTAAACACCTCACTCTGAAGCAATCCACAGCCTCTACAGCATGAGTTCGATCCCTGGGGCGGCCAGGGAGAAACCCACATGGCGAGGCAGACCTCTCCTGTCTTGCCCGCTGCTCCCCTCAGCAGTGTGTTTAGGTCAGTCTGCCTGTTCTGTTCCCCACTCTGTCTCTTGTGAGTTCTCTCACCCCCCACACCTCTGGCCTATACCCCAGTTCTTGTATGCATAAATAAATAAATCTTTTGAAAAAAAAAAAAGTCACTTCCTCATGACTGTTTTGTTGTACAGCTGAAGTCAGTTTGCCCCCTAGTCAACATTTTTTTCTTTTGATTTTTTTTATTACTCAAATTATTTAGCTTTCTAAATAAGTTTAGAAAGCTTGCTATCTGTATCATTAACCCTTACACAATGACTTTGTGCTCCTCAATAAAGAAAGCACATGGGTTCCTGTGACAGACACGCTTAGAACACATGGAGCCATCCTAGGTCCTGCTGACACGTTCTGTTTTAGACCACCTCATAAGGAAATTCAGGTCTTGGCAGGAGCCCATCACATTAGCTTGGGAACAAGCCATATGTGGATTTTGGTGCTTTCCCATCCTTGGTATAGAGGTAAACAGTTCTATTACCAAGGATTTGAAACTGCCTAGTTTTGTTGGAGGCTGTATTGTAGGATAACCTATGAGGGTTTGTCAAATGCTGAAATATTCTGAATGCTTCTAGACACCATCATAAGAAGAATTCAACATTTTTTTAGAGCAATTTGTAATTTACTGGCCCAGCAGGCTATTTGAGAGGAAGGAAGCAGGTGGAATAGGACAACATCCCACTCTGCTGTGTGCAAAGCCTAACCTGTGTTTCCTGGGATTGTTGGTGATGAAGAACTCACCAGGTAGCAGCCCATCACCTCAGACTTTATGTTCATCTGGTTAAAGGTCTTGCAGCTATAGGTGCCCCCATGCGCCCCACCTTTGCACGTAGGATGATCATGTCCCACAGTTACAGTTGTGTCTCTCCCACCTGGGAGAGCTCCTACCTGGGGCTTCTCCATGAACTACCCCTCTCTTGTAGACTAGGGTTTGGTCCCTGCTGCTCCCAGACACTGCTTCTGCATCAGCTGCTTGGTGGACATGTCCAGAAGCTGGTTGAGGTCCACACTGGCAGTTGAACTTGAAGGTACACTTCAGCTTCACACCTGCCATCTCATTGGCTCTTCAAAAAGGTTAACATCTTTTTTTAAAGATTTATTTTATTATTTATGCATACAATAGCTGGGGTGTAGGCCAGAGGTGCGGGAGGTTGAGAGGATTCACCAGAGATAGTGGGGAAAAAAACAGGCAAATTGACTGAAATACACTGCTGAGGAGAGCAGCGGGCAAGACAGGAGAGGTCTGCTGCACCATGTGGGTTAGCTCCCTGGCCAGGGATTGAACTCATGCTGCAGTGGCTGCTGATTGCTTCATAGTGCTGAGACTCAGTCCCTTATGCCATCAGGGAGGCCCCAAGATCAGCATTTTTTTTTTAAGATTTATTTATGCATACAAGAACTGGGGTATAGGCCAGAGGTATGTGTGGGGGGTGGTGAGAGGATTCACAAGAGACAGAGTGGGGAACAGAACAGGCAGATATACACTGAAATACACTGCTGAGGGGAGCAGCAGGAGAGTCAGGAGAGGTCTGCTGTGCCCTATGGGTATCTCCCTGGCTGGGGATTGAACTCGTGCTTCAGTGGCTGCGGATAGCCTCATAGGTTGCGTCTTAACCCCTTGTACCACCAGAGAAGCCCAGGTCAGCTTCTTGATTAAAGAAATTTCCCAGAAAATGGAGACGAATCTCAGATCCCTGGGGGCCTCTCTAAAGTACATTCTTCAGAAAGGAAAAGATTAAACTCCAGCATTTCCCTTCCTCTACATAGATAGTTTCAACATATCTTTAGGTCAAAATAACTTAAGACTCAGAACCCTCTTTCAAGATTACCTTTTTTTTTTTATGTCAGTGACTCATTGTTCCTGTCTATATAAACTAAATCAAATTTATGAATGTTGGAATAGTTCTCACAGAACTATTGCCCCCTTTTACTTGTTTTTTCAGTCATTCCTGGGTGCAAATCCTCACTTTGATTAACTTTGTCTCTTAGTGAGAGTTTTATTCCACTTAACAGAACCCTCCAGTATCATCCATTCTTGCTACCTGCTATCTGAATGAAGATGTGATGGCTGGGAAACCAGCACATATTGGACCATGAGGTGGCTTTGTGAATTGATACCTTGCAAAGCAGAATAATAAGACAGGACACTGAGGAGTACATAGGAGCCTGGCCTGGCTGTCATGGGATGTCTTAAGTGCAGGAAACTTCTGTCTTAACTAAGTTCTATGAATTTTAGATATTTCCTGTCACTTGTAGCCAAACTTCTCCTATTTAACCCTTTTTAACTTCCCTTCATTCTTTAAGGACATTGGTCCCTGGTTCATAGTCTAGCTTTCTACTTCAGTCCCTTCTGTTATCCTGGATCCATGTTCTACACCAACCATCCCACCTCCGCCAACTACCTTACCTTTTGTCATCACCCAGATCTGCCCCAGCTGCAATCTTACTTAGTCAAGTATCCTACCTCTGACTATAACCTTTCCAAAGTCATGAGGACCTCCAGCTCCACTGCTTTTCCCAATCCATCTTTTCTTCCTCCTCCTTCATACACCATACTTTTTAGCCAAGTTGCTGTTTTTACTTATTTTTCTTATATTGAACTATGTTTCTTTAATCAAAGACCTGTCTTTGGGAGAGTAAACTCCACAAGAGTAGGAACTTCATTTTTGCTCTCCACTGTATTCTACTACCTAGCATAGTGTCTGTCACCTGCTAGATGCCCAATAAATATGTTAAGCAAATGAAATAAAATGAATGTTAGAATTATAAAGGTTGAATCACTTTTTCTTTACAAGAAGAGTGAGCTTAATTAAGTTTGGTGGTGGCTTGGCTTTGCAGATCCTTTCAAGCATTTACCCCTCTTAGCTTCTCAGTCATTCAAAGTAATAGGTTTGGGGTCTCCCTGGTGGCACAAGGTGTTAAGACTCAGCGCTATGAAGCTATCTGCAGCCACTGCAGTATGAGTTCAATCCCCAGCCAGGGAGCTGACCCACATGGCACAGCAGACCTCTCCTGTCTCCCTGCTGCTCCCCTCAGCAGTGTATTTCAGTCAGTCTGCCTGTTCTGCTCCCCACTCTTTCTCTGGGGAATCTTCTCACCCCTCCTCCCCCACCACCTCTGGCCTGTACCCCAGTTCTTGTATGCATAAATAAATAAATCTTTATAAAAAAAAAACAAACAATGTTATAGGTTCTTGTCACTGCATCAAATGGATACTGTATGTTGGGGTGGGGGTGGAGAAACAGGGAGAACCAGTAAGTCTTACTTCTTTCTTAATTTAACACCTACCTGTCAGTCAGCCACTGCAGGAAGACCCAGCACTGAATGCATGTGCATTAGCCTCCTGTCAGCGTGCGGTGTGCTAGGAGGAGCACTACCTGGCAGGGCTGAGCACAGAGGGAGAAATGTTTGCAAGAAGGTCCAGATGGGACCACCTGGAGAAGGCCAATTATTCCAGGGAGTTTCCCACCTCTCCAACAGTCCAGCCTACCCCTAGGTGTCCCTCCAAACTGCACCTGATAGATCCTGCCCAAACTAGGGCACAGAGAAGGGACTTGGCTGAAAAGAAAGGAAGTCCACATGAGAGCTGTGAGCCTATGGCAGGTGTCTCCTACAGCAGCTTGGCCTCCATAGTCCCAGGGGCCCGCAAATGGTATTTCTCTAGCACTTGCTGTATTCAAAACCCCGTAGCAAAAGTCAAATCTTTAGCCTCTCATTTGGGGCAGCAAACAGCCAGATGGTGGAAACTTGTGCTCTGTTTCACAGGGGCCAGGTTTAGGAGTCCCTCCTTGGACTTCAGGAAAGATCTTCCTGGGTGAGCAGCCCACTAGGAGTGCCTATGACTGAGGGCCATTTTCCACAGAGGGGTGGATTTCTGCAGCTTCATTTTGCCTGGTCAGGCCAGAGGAGTGGTCTGTGGCTACAGAATAGGACAAAGGGTGTGAAACAGAGACCCACCAATTCTATCACAGACTGAGGTGAAAAAATTGCATAGACTCACATGGAGGGAGACAAAACAAGTGATTTCTATGAAGTACAGTGTCTTTTTAAGGGAGCAGAGGATACAGTAGGAGCTTATAGCAGAGGGTGTGTGCCAGACTTGGGATCAGGAAAAGATCAATGGCAATGAGAAGCAGCTTGATATAGGAAAGGGGAGCGAGAGCATCCTAGGAAAGCAGGACAGGATTTGCAAAGCCTCAGAGGCAAGCAACATGGAGTTAGAATAAGGAAGTGAAAAAATGGTGAGTCTGGATCATTAAGTACAATGGGGAACTGGACAGGCATAGTTAGAGACCTACTGGGACATGTTAAGGAATTGGACTTTATTCTAAGAGCAAAGGGAAATCACTTGAAAGGGTTTATATAGTAGAGAGATGCCAACAAGCATTTCTACATTTCTGAAGATCACTCTCACTGAAGAGAAGAGGGGAGAAGTAAGTAGTTTCAGGGCAGCAGACCTCTCTGGTCTTGTCTGCTGCTTCTCTTAGCAGTGTATTTCAATAAATCTGCCTGCTCTGTTCTCCACTTTAATCCCTGGTGAATTAATTCTTTCACCCCTGCTCCTTCGGCCTACACCTGCTTCTCCCCAACAACATTAACCTCTCTGTGTCCCCAATGACATTAACCTCTCTGTGCCTCTATTTCCTTTTCTGGAGGGAAAAAAGGAGGGCTTTGGGCAGGCCAATAAGAAGGCTTTGCAATTTCCAGGCAGGAGAAATAATGTTGATAATGGAAATGAAGAGAAATAATAAAGAATTCAAGAGACACCAGAAGACAGAGTCACCAGGAACTGGATGCAAGGGGAGCCAGTGATAAAGCTCAGGCCTTATTTATTGTCTTTTTTTTTTTTTAAGATTTATTTATTTATACATACAAGAACTAGGGTACAGGCCAGAGGTGTGTGTGGGGGGAGAGGATTCACCAGAGACAGAGTGGGGAACAGAACAAGTGGATAGACTGAAACACACTGCTGAGGGAGCACCGGGTGAGACAGGAGAGGTCTGCTGCGCCATGTGGGTAGCTCCCTGGCTGGGGATTGAACTCGTGCTGCAATGGCTGCAGATAGCTTCATAGGTTATGTCTTAAC